GTGACCTTTGTTACTTTGGTCCCAGCTCTCTGCAGGTCATTCACCAGGTCCCCCCGTGTGGTTCTGGGATCTTTGCTCACCGTTCTCATGATCATTTTGACCCCACGGGATGAGATCTTGCGTGGAGCCCCAGATCGAGGGAGATTATCAGTGGTCTTGTATGTCTTCCATTTTCTGATGATTGCTCCTACAGTTGATTTTTTCACACCAAGCTGCTTGCCTATTGTAGATTCACTCTTCCCAGTCTGGTGCAGGTCTACAATACTTTTCCTGGTGTCCTTCGAAAGCTCTTTGGTCTTGGCCATGGCGGAGTTTGGAGTCTGACTGTTTGAGGCTGTGGACAGGTGTCTTTTATACAGATGATGAGTTCAAACAGGTGCCATTCATACAGGTAACGAGTGGGGGACAGAAAAGCTTCTTACAGAAGACGTTACAGGTCTGTGAGAGCCAGAGATTTTCCTTGTTTGAGGTGACCAAATACTTATTTTCCACCCTAATTTACGAATAAATTCTTTACAAATCCTACCATGTGGATTCATGGATTTTTTTTTCACATTCTGTCTCTCACAGTTGAAGTGTACCTCTGGTGCAAATTACTGACCTCTGTCATCATTTTAAGTGGGGGAACTTGCACAATCGGTGGCTGACTAAATACTTTTTTGCCCCACTGTAAATGCAGTACCAGAGGATTACAGGCATTAAATAATGTTTTCCAGACTTGTGCACAGAGATTTCTCTAGATTCTCTTTTGATGATATTATGTACTGTAGGTGAGGAGATATTCAAAGTCTTTGCAGTTTTATATTGATTCTGAAAAATGCTGAAAATTGTTCCACAATTTGTGAAGATAGTTTTTTGCAGATTGTTGAACCTTGTCCCATCGTTACTTGTTCTTTTTATACCCCATCATCTTACTGACCTGTTGCCACTTAACCCAATTAGTCACAAAATGTTCCTCCAGCTGTTTCTTTTTAGTGCCATTTACTTTAACTGCCTTTTGTTTTTTTTTAAATGTGTTGCTGTCATCCAATTCAAAGTCATCTTAAAATGACACATTTTCTCAGTTTAAACATTTGATGTTTTCTACATGCAACTGTGAATAAAACATGTGTTTATGAGCTTAACACCGGTGAACACAGGTATATCTGATAAAACTAAGTTATGGTCCTGTTCTATTTAGCATGTTGATGCCATTCTTGTCAGTGAGCATACACAATGCCAGCACCTCATCCAAATGGAACAGAGCCATAATTAGAGTTATTAATTACACCTGTGTTTACCCTGAGCCAAAATGGCTGCTCAGTAAATGGACAATTAATTAGACCAAACTAAAACAGAGTGCAGGTACAGAAACTGGCTGAAACATTACCGAGGCTTAAAATGACAGAAACAGATGTGCAGAGATTTTCCTGTTAGGCTGTCATGAAAAAAAGATAAACAGCCAATATCAATATTATTCATAACCTATGGTCACCATCAGCTCAAAAGTGTCTGCCAGTGCCACGAAGAGTGAGTAAATAAATGTGCTACTCTCATGTAATGTAAATGTAAAACTGTAGGTTGCTGTTACATACACACAGATGGCTGGTGTCCAGGATAAACCGCAGTTTCCTTGACGTAACTCTAACAGACAAGCATGTGCATGTGCTCATCTTACGCTGTATCCAACCAAATCCTAAATTACTGGAGACACCGCTGAGGAGAGAACACGAGATGCTCCCAACACCCTGGGTGTCTGTATCTGTTGCCACGCAGAGAGCACAATTACAGAAATCAGTGTTTGACATTTGTCGAATGGAAGTAACATTTTAATGTCACAGTTTGTTTGTTTTTTTAAGTTGTTTGACATATGTGATATCTAACGAAATGAGTGGAAGTTTACCCAGATAACAGAATTAGTAAATCCCCATTACATCAGATCACCTTGAGAATTCGGCTTAATCACACAAATGGTTCTGTTTGGCTAAAAATACCCAATGAGTACAAATAAAACAACACTGGTGTAAAAAAAAATCCACTGGGGGCATTATGAGAGTCATAGTTACCCTGTGATAAACCCAATGATACCCAGGATTAAGCACTGCAAAGACACACACACACACACACACACACACACACACACACACACACACACACACACACACGCTGCCCTGAGCCCAGATCAAAGCCATTACCTCTAAACTAAAGAAGCCTCAGGCTAGGAACGGAAAAAACAGAAAGAGGGAATACACACACACACACACACACACACACACACACACACATCTTGAAACAATTGCTGATTTTAGTAAAAAATGTTGTGAATATATTCTCAGTGGTATTGCATTTGAAATAATTCCCAGGTGGCTTTAAGGACAATACAAACAGCACCGCACCCGTGTCCAGATCAGTGGTTTTGTTCTCACAGCGGCATGCTAAAAGGATGCTGTCTGTTGCTAAGATACTAATGTGTCATAAGCAGCGTGCTCCTCCCGCTCAGCTCCACTGTGATGTCAAACTGGTAGTGGTGATGCACTGAAAATACCAGTGCAACATTTTCATTCACTCGCTTTATCATTCATAGGTGGAGAAAAGCGTGTTTTGACTGGCTCAACTACTTTTACTCACTCGCTCCTTGTTTATGGTCTCAGTGGCAGTCTCCTGTATTTATAGATGCTATTAACAACTCCAGTGAGAGAAGGAGCAGAGAGTGGGATAAATCCAGCTTTAAGCTGACACCTGCTCTATCCCTTATATAGAAGTCTGAATGATTAAGAATAAAAAGACATCACAGATTGCCAAATAGCATTATCAAAGAAAACATGGCTTCATGAAGTATGCTACAATGCACCAGAGCAGCTTTAAAAGGTGTGCAGTATATTGCTCAAGTGAACTGTGCTGCACTTTAACTGGATTCAGGATAGGTCCGCAATATTTGAGACATGGGGGGTGAGCAGGATGAATGTTTTCTAAAAGCAACTGAACCTCACAAAACTGCATGTTTCTTGTACTGTGGCTCTAAAAGACCTAGAGCTGCTATTGCATCATTTTTGGCTACATGATGCACTTTGTGTATGAGTGCACTGTAGAAAGAAAACACAAACAAAATCCAGGTCCAGGTGCAGGCCTCTGACTGTACTGACCGTGCCAAAAAGCTTCACACCTGCTCACACCTGCAGGATGGGCAGGCAGCTTAAAGTGACTGACTGAGGCGGAAAAAGCATGGAAGCAGATGCCAACTTGTTAATACTAGCGGAAGGATCAGCACGCTTTAAGTGTAATTACAAGACCGGTGAGCCATATTGGTGCCAAAGTGGCCAACATCAGTGAAGAGTAGACCCCAGATCTGAATGAAGGAGAGAGATGTGCCAACTTGACCATTAAAACTCTCTTTCACACACACAAACACAACACCTGTCTATTCTGTACCATATTTCCTGTGATATTTTTTTGGTCCTACATGAAAGGTGCTCGTCAAAACATGACATCTTCCCCACATCCTTCCGTAATTAACCTCCAAGAGAAGCACACCGACTGTACATTTTGGCTGCAAGGGTTATTTTTGCGTCTTAGAAGCTCCCCGGTTCCCCTTTGACTCGGGAGCTGCTGTCAGATCTCTTCTTCTAATGTAAACCCAACAGGAAAATGTGAAACCGACTCACCTCGGTAAATGACGAACAACTTCTCCGCCGCTTTTCACTTAAAAAAATCTTTAAGTGCTGCGCACAGTAAAGAGAGAGGAAAAGCAGAGCCAATTTTCCTATAAAGGAGTGAAAGCTGAGGTTAACATTTTTTTTATTATTAATTTTTTTTTTAACCGGAGTATCCTGGAAGGCGCAACAGTGTGTGAACACAAACCATCCTCGTAGCCTGGACTGTGCTCTCTGCGCCCGGCCACTGAAGGACGGAGTTTAATAAAGCCAACAGTGGTGGCCTCACAGCGGAAGTACGACAAACCCACTCCCAAAACAAAAGCGGAAGAGTCAAGCAGAAAAAACTACTTCCGGTTAGTCATTCATGAGCGATCAGTGTCTATGTTTTCCATAAAATTACAGAACAGGGAAAAGATGCATGTTTTTATACCCTAGTTAATACGGGGAATGCATTTATTCCACATTTAAAACATTTATTATTTTGATTTTTTTTAATTTACTAAGTACTTAGTTTATCTCTAAAACATGACTTTAATCTTCTTCCTTGTGAATAGTACAGACACCAGGCCCCAAGTTTGTTAACTTTCTTTTAACACTACAGCCACATTAGATGTAAAATAAGGCTATTTACAGTACTCAAAAGCACGAAAGAATCAGCACTTTAAAGCATTATTTTGAAAGTATCTTTTGCTTCTGCTAAACGCAGCAAAGCCAAAGCATGTACATCTGCATGCGCAGTATTTTATGTGTTATGTATTCAGTCTTATTTTAGTTTCCATTGTTATTTAGTTGAATTTCAATAAAATGTAAATTACCCTTGTAAAACTTGACATCTTTAGTCACATTTGCATGTTTTTATGTGCTGCGTGTAAGCACGCCCACAGTTTCAGAGCCTCGTTGATCCTGGGGTATACACAACATTTTTCTGATAATTTCATATGAACATTGTGCAAGAATAGCAAGCAAAGCAAATCCATCTTCTACGGAGAGAAATTTGCCTCCAAAGGGTTGCAAATGCGTACGATATGATCCACAAGCGTAAACTAACCTTCATAAATGTTTACAATGATTTGTGTCTAACTTTTTAAGGACTCACGAGTGCTTCAATCCACACACAAACACCTGAAGTAAAAGGACCCAAGTTTTGGTAATCCTCATGCAGCCCATTCTGCAGTACCACTGTTAACCACAAGAGGGCGGAAAGCGAACATAAATGATAACATTTCACTGACGTCCACAGCTGCGAACGCAGCTGCTGGTGCCGCTGACAAGGAAACAGGAGAGGTATAAATTGTGCTTTCCACAATGAGCAGGACGTAAGATGACCTAATCTACACCAAAACGATGTAAAGACAAAGCATAAAGCAATCAGGTATCAACTTTTAATTGTTGACATTGAGAACAAACCAGAATTTTTTTAAGTTGTATATTATAGTTGAGGTGCATATTTTTGTATTAGACTTTATTTAACTGGCATGTATTGCTAGAGCAGATTTTGCTGAGTTTGTGTCTTGTTGATCTGTTTAAATTTAACATCATACTTTATAAAACCGCTGACATAACAAAAAATAGAAACTCAATTTAAAGTTTTCTAATTAGCAGGTCACATCTTAATGCAACTCATAGTCAGGGAATATCAAAAGTATCTGCAATTTTTCTGTCAAGCGCAACCTGCACACAAACCTTTCAAAAACTATATTTAACAAATAAGCAATTTTAAATCCTTTCAGTAAGAGCCAGTGTTGCTCCAAAAATCAAAGGAAAAATAAACAAAACAACACAAAAAAACGGACAATTACACACAGGAAAAGAGAAAGGAATAAGGTGCATTACATTCAGAAATCAAAGCATCAACATGACTTTAGAAAGTCAGAAATACAACTGGTGCGACCTGCAAAAATTACAGTATCTTCTTTTGGTCACAAAGCAAATACATTCCTATAAAAATGTTTCTTTTTAAAAATTTTAACCCTGATTCAATCACAGCTCAATAAATACATACAATTTCTTGTGTCCTCCTATGATAAACAGCAGAAATAAATACGCACATTGGATAGAGACCACGACCTAGAGTCACCATAGGAGCAGGTAACTCTTCTTTTACTGTGACTTTGTGATTTCTTGTGTTTTCAGTAATGTGGCCTCTAATTATTGTAAACATTCCACAATGCAAATTGACTCCTCGTATCAGAGTCTGCAAAGATATATTCATCATTTCCTCACAGGAAAATAACACAGTGTGGCCTTTATTTTCACAGCAGTTTGGGAGCTCAGTGGTGTGCTACTGAAAGGCGGGGCTCAACACAGGTTTAGTGATTTCACACTTTTTTAAGTGCATACATAAGTTAGTGTAATCTTTTTTTAAAAGCCATCTTTAATGTACTTTGTGATTTTTTCTAATTTTATTGTAACAAGTTTGAAATGATCATGTCATATGGGAAATACTGTAGTCCCGTTATAACAGTAAAATATTATCTGTTCAATTCAGTAGGGAAGAATTTAGTCATGAGTGTGATACATTAGTTAAAAGTGAACAGGCGGGACCTGCTTTGTTTATGTGTGTGTTTTTCCTTTCTCCCAGGAATTCAATGATAAAACAGGAAGCAGCTGGCCAGTCTCTCAGCATCACTCACTTGGGTGTCCTCGCCCACCTACTCGCCTGCCTGGGAAGGTGATGACAGTATACCCTCTACCGTAAAAAAAACTAATTCTACTGCTGATTATTACGACTGATTACAAAAGTAAGTGTGTTATTTCAGTGGCTTTGAAGAAAACACTTTTTGTTCAAAATCTAGTGTGGTGTTCTACTGATCAGCTGAGCGTGCCACCTCTCCCAATTTGTGTCCATAAACCTCTTTGTGTGCTCCCCTGTTAATCTGACAGCAGCTTTTGAAAAAAAGGTTTCAGTGGCTTCCACCCGTCTCCTGCTTTGTGAAACCAAAGGCCAATCAGTGCAAAGTCAGGGATTTAAATAGTTTCAAAAATACATTATTTCTTCTTGTTCTAACAAACTTATTTCAACTGTACAGCCGTGTTTCAATAGAGCAGCACTTAGAAAAAAAACCCCCAAAACACTTCAAGCAAAAAAAAAATAATAATAAAATTCTCACAGATTTTTAAGTCAGTGTTGGCAGAAAAGGTACTGGACTGTTCGTCTGCACTGGTGCTGATGAACTGGAATTGTGCTTCTCAACTGTCAAGCAGTGCAGATCATATCAGGTGGAAGAGAAATTCATCCTTCTGTCCCTTAGACCGAGCCTATGGACATCACCGTCAGAGATTTTGTTCTTCCAGAGTCTGAAACCAAGTTCAATAACTTATAAAGGCCAGAACATTACCACAACATTAGAAATTAATAAGGTTTCCTTGGATAATGCAGGTCTAGCAGTGCAGGAAGTTTACCTGATGAGTTGCAGAGCAGGGCAGAACCTTAAGGCCTTAAGCAGGGCCTCCGCTCCAGAAACACTCAAGCTGTTGCACTCGAGACTGTGAGAAATAAACACTTAATCTCTCATGTACTGAGACAAGAGTTGTTTTCCTTATTGGTTTTATAAATATAAGAAAGCCTAAATGAAAAGTGGAATGAAAAAAGCAAAACTCTTGCAGTTGCGGGTCTTTATGTGTGTGTTTTACTCACTCTATCTGAGTCAGCGTATGACAGAAAGGCAAAACCCTGGCCACTTCCAGTGCCACTTCATCACGACAGTTATTCCAACCCAGACTAGACAGACACCAAGACATAGAGAGAGAGAGGTTTGATGAACAGAAGCTGAAGCATCACGCAAAAATGTTATCCTAAGATGCGAATATCATAAATTACTTTTAATTAAAAACTAGAGTGTTATGTACAACAATACCTTAAATAATAAAAATAATCAATTCCTTAAAACGTGTGGTGCTGTGTAAAATTTAGGCAAAAACAGAATGAAATAATCTGCAGAGTTCAATCCATATTCTGTTCATAAGCGGCAATAGAAAACATCCAGTGTTTAAACTGAGAAAAATATTTACTCATTTTGTATTTGATGGGTTCACAGTGTCTCAGCTGGGACAAGGGCAACAAAAGGGTGGAAAAGAAAGTGGCATTATAAAGAAACATGTGGAGACCATTTAGCAAATAATTAGGTTAAAATGCAATGGGTTGGTCACATAGTGGGGTATAAAAAGAAGCAGTGATGGACAGAGGCTGAACAATCTGCAATAAAAAAAACCCTGAATATCTTCTCATACAGTGCATGACATCATCAGAAAGATTGAGTAGATTTGGAGAAATCCCTGTGTGCAAGGGACAAGGTCAAACATCAGTATTGGATGCCTGTGATCTTTGTTCCCTCGGATGGAAATGCATTAAAAACAGGCATGCTTCTCTCACAGAACTCCCTCAGGAATACTTCCAGAAATCACTGTTTGTGATTCATCTACAAGTGCAAGTTAGTGCATGTAAAGAAGAAGCCATATGTGATCATAGTAACTTTAAAAGGAGCTAATATTTTTCTTAAATGCTACATTTCAGTTAAAACCTTTGATGTGTTTTCTATTGTGAATAAAACATGAGTTTACAAGATTGACAAATCATTACATACAGTGTGTGCCAACTCTTATAGAACTGACATGTCCATGAGTAGAACACAGAACAGCACCAGATTATTAAATGTTTGATCACTTTGCTTTATCTTACCCAACTTCCTGTATGAGGGGACAGTGAGCCAGACTGGCTACAACAGGACGCAGCTCTGAAGTCCCAACAGAGGTCAGGCTGAATTATTGTGCAAAAGACAAAAAACAATCAGTAAGTGTAGTCATCTGTGTGAGCTGTGATTCTGAAAATAATCAAAGCAAATGAGTCTTACTTAATCTTTTTGAGGTTCTTCATGCACATTATGGCTTTGGAAAGGCTATTGGAGCCTTCATGGTCAATGTGGTTGAGCGAAATGCTATAAATGACACAGAAATACAGAAGAACAAAAAGGCTGAATAAGTGAGGGGAGAAACACATATCAATAAGAACATGTAACACTGTGTGAGACTTACTCTAACACACTGAGGTGTGTCAGTGATGGGAAAATGAGGGCCATCCTGGCAGCAGTGAGGATTCCCAGTTTGTTATCGGACAGACTGGAAGAGTGCACAAAAAGACATATAAATATGTACATTTTAAAACAATCTTTGAGTTGCTTGAGTTAAATGCCAATTAATGATATAGCCAAATATATAAAACTCAGCTTTTCCAAGGAAAATAAACAATTTTGAAGATTAAAATGTTCACTCAAAAGTTTTGAGGGCTTATTTTGTGCACTTCTTTAGCCAAATGCATGCACATGCAAACTCTTGCACAGTGTTGCAATCAAATGCCAAAAGCACATTTACAGGAATGAAACGCATTCTCACCAGAGCTCCTCCAGGTGGCTGCAGGCTTTCAAAGCCTCAAGCAGCTTCTCTCCTGATTGGTCACTGATAAGGTTCTTTGACAGCCTGGAGGATAAACACACACAGCAAGAAAAGCAAATTTACTCATTTTTAATAACTGTTAATGGACCATGTAAAGTGTTCTGTCAATAGTTTGTTTTTTTGATTATTCCACTTGATGGCGCCAAACCTAACTCAAACTTTACTTTTAAATTATATGGATAATAGACACCCTACACATTACAGTGGATTGATATAGCTCAATTAAATCTTCTCTATAGGTAACTGGAAACCCTTTTGAAACTGTGCCATAAACTACTTAAACGCTTCAACTTTGCAATAATATCATTTACAACTGATCACGGAATATTTAGGACCAAAGAAATTTCACAAGCTGACTTGACTTGTTCTTTCACAACTGTTTGCAAAGACATACTGCATGGTTGGGTGCTTGATTTGATTGATTGATTTGATGTGTGGCAAATGGACTGAAAACACCTGAATTCAAAGATTACGAGATTTGGCCCAGTACTTTTGTCCTTATGGCATAGATTGCATTAGTTACTGGAAGAACTTTGGATTGAATTTAATCTGGGTCATTGTTTCTGGCTATGCAACCTCAGATTCAGAATTCCTTCAGTTTACTTGATGTGTATAGGTTTACTGCCTGCCACAACAATTATTCATTGGGATCTACAAATAAAAGTGGAAGGAAGTAGAGACAGTGAGCCCAGTGGAGGCAACAAAGTTGCAAATTTCTTCATCAAATTTTGGGAAGCTTTCATTCAAGCCAAAGAGTTTAACTTGTGCACATTTAAATGAGTACTTCAGGGGTTCAAACCGGAGCTGGATATGTAAATATGAAGTATAAGCATAAAAAGACCATTCTCTTAAAAAAAAATAAGCATAAAAGCATAAGGGACGGTAATATGAAAAACATCTTGAGCCTGTAGACATTTTGTGGCTGTCAGTCAAACACACTTGGAAGGACGAACCTGCTGCATAGTGCAAACAGTTGGTCCCCATAAAGGAACGATAAAATTGCTGTAACATTCTGAATGACTTGCACGTCTCAACCTGTGGTTCTGATTTATGGCCCAGCATGTACTAATATTTTTATTATTGGATTGTTTACAAAAAAGGCAAAGAAACTACTTCACACTCATGTTGTATATGACAGGATAAATGGAACTCGGCATGAGTATAATCTACAGAAGATTGGTCATGTGACATAAACAAAGTATTTTAAAGCATTAATAAAAATATTACTATTTCTCTTGGGGTGAAGATGAACATATCCTGGAGAAAACATGTTGGAAATGCAGCTAAAGGGTTTTGGAGATCAGTAAAATACAAACTTTCTATGTTTTCCACCCCCTGTGTACATACTTTATCTTCCTGAGCTCTTTCCAGTTCGGAATGAGCCTGTTCAGCTCTTCTATTCCTCTGCAAGCCATCCTCCAGCCCCCCAACCTGAGAAAGAGCAAATCCAACATTCTCAAAGCCAAGCTTCTTCTTTTTTTAATGACAGACTGACAGAAGGTGAATGGTAATGTCCAGTGAGCGCTAGGTATGAATGAAAGACTCACTCTATCTGCTCTAAATGTGCGTGTCCCTTCGTGGCAGCCAGGAGATCCAGAACGCTGAGATTGTCCATTGCTGTGACAATCTCATTCAGCCTGGTACACACACACAAAATGTATTAGTTATGTTAGGTAGATGTGTATTTTGATGAGGATTTATAGCCATGGGAATATGATCTGTATGTTAGAAATGCATAAAAGGCTTTGACATATGCTGACCAGGCACCTTGCCAGCTACATTTTACAGCTTAGCGCTATGAGAGAACTGGGAACGATAAGGGACAAATTTGTCCCTGCGGTGGGGGGATTAGTAGGATCAGATCCTACTAATTAATTACGAGGTTCATAAGAGCCTGATGACATGCTGGTATGACAAACAGCACCAACATTGGCCAACAAAAAGCATCATGTGCATTATAGTGTAAATGCAGAGTGAAGTGCACTGTGGTGAAAACAGCAAAGATGTCTGCCTGGAAGAGTTTTGATCTCTGTTCAATAAATCCTGAAGACTATGTGGTAAAGAACAAACCAAGATTTACTTTAGCTCTTGGATTCTGACTACTGCAAAGAAACAGAGAGTGTTTCTTACCTGAGACGGCGAATAGAGTTGATATGTTTTAGAGCTCGTGCCAGACACATCCTGCTCTCCTCATTCAGTGCCACAGAATCCAAACTTAGGGTGCACAGAAAACACAGAAAAAAACTGACATTTTTTAACAGCTTCTTTATTTTATCCAACAGAAAAAACAGCTGTATTGTTGTATCTGTGTGTGTGTGCATGCCTTACCAAAGGTCTTCAAGAATAACACACTGTCCCAGTGCTTCAATGAGCTGCAGTCCTCCAGGCAAAACACAGTGGGAAAGACTACAGCAGAAAAGTTCCATTGTGAACAAATGTTTATTCACTGTGTGTAACATTTTACAGCAGCCTAAATATAAGTTCATATTCTAGACATTATTTTTCACACAGTCATGTACATCCACACTCATCTTATATATCATAAATGCTTACTTAAGTGATCGTAGACAGGGCAGAAACCTGGTCATATTCTGAGCTGCCGTCTCACTAATCTGATGACCCGACAGACTGGAAGAAACAGAGGATGGTTAGAGCCCCCCAGTGCTCGGTGTAACACATTCTGAAGTAACTCTTACTGTAATCACATTACATTTTTCAGTAATATATTACTACTATATTACTAAATTTAGTATTACATTACATTTACTTATGCTGCTACTTGCATTACAAAGGCTCAATAGGCCAGACAGACAAAAAGGAAAAAAACAAAAAACATCTAACAAGCCTTTATTTTTCTTGTGTTTATGCTACAATCAGCTGGTAGACGATCACTTTTTGGCACAACACCTGGAGCTAAGGGGGCAAAACAATCGCATGAGTGCTGCTGTTTGACTGAGGAAGAATAAAGTAGTCGTGGTAAGCCAATCACATGACCACTTAAAGATGACAAAGCAACAAGGTGATATATACCAGTTTTTAAATTGTGTTGATGGGCCACGTAAAACCAGAGTCATGATAAACAATATATACGCCTGTTTTTTCCTCAATAGTTTCGTCACGTTTACTGTCTAAGGACAGCGCAGCGAGCACTCTTTGCTTATGAGCAAAAAAATTAAAACAAAAAACAGCCTGCTCGTGTTGGTGGAAAAATGTACCATGTTGACCGATCAAAAAATGATATGGCAACATGACATGTGGTTGTTTAGGAAGAGGGGGAAGTTTTAGGAGTGACGGCGAGAGGGAGAGGGAGAGAGAGAGACAGCAGAAAAAGAGAGAGAGCGAGTTTTGAGATGTGAGAAATTTGCGACGTTTAGCATGTTTGGAGCGTGTAGTTAATGTGTTGTCTTGTGTAGTTAGTGTAGTGGTGTGGATAGTTTTGTGTTGTGTGTCAGAACAATGAGGTGACTGCTGAATGAAAACAGGAGGAGTGATACACCTGCTGCTGTCAGACCTGCAGGTATCAGGCTGTGATGTTCTCCTTCATAGTGGACAGAAATATTTGGAGTGGCACAAATAATTTGTGTGACATCTTATTGAATGCAGAACAGCTGATTGTTCTGTAAATAGTTTGAAATGGTTATTAAAAAAAATGGTAAAATGTAAATGGCTGCAAATAACTTTGTTGTTTGCAAAACTTTAGGATAGGATTTTAAGATTGACAATTTATTTTTGCATTTAAAGTTATGAAATATGTTTCATTAAACATGTTTGTGGTTGTTACAGTAAAAAATATCACTTTTTCTACTCTGATTTGATGTTTTTTGTTTGATTTTAGCTCAATTGTGTTAACACAGTATGTCAAAATGAAAACATAACTGTAAATTCAGACACGTGAGGTTGTGCTGAAAAGGATGATACCAAACAAGGCAAAGTAAATAGTTTTTAAAGGTGAAATGTGGAGGTAAAATCAAAAGTAGTTAAAAATGGCCAATTCTACCCTGGACCCCAGAGGGATAAACATTTTTTTAAAGTAACGCAATAGTTACTTTTCAAGTAGTTAATTACTTTTAGAATCTTGTAACTTAGTTACTAACTTTTTTGAAGAAGTAACTAGTAACTATAATTAATTACTTTTTCAAAGTAACTTGCCCAACACTGGTGACAATGCATTTAGATCATTATACAGAGTAACATGAAAGTAATGTAACGAATATTGTAACAAATCCTTCCTTTGGTGAGAAATTAAGTAATTTACTGCATCACTTTTAATTACTTTACATTACTTTGAGCAGTGAGCCTCTACATTGGATCCACCTGTCCACAGAAGATCATGAAAACAGTTCACCAGGGGGTGTGAAGGGAAAGGTGTTTATTTATCATACTGGGCCTTTATTCTGGGCCTCACCAACAGAGATGGGCAGTAACGCGTTACTTGTAACTTTATTTATTTTCTGCTGTGTTTTACTTGCATCTATTTGAAAGAGTGAGTGTAAACACAAAAAATATTTTATTTTATGTGCTGGAATGTGCAGAAAATAGGTTTAAATGTTAAACTAATTTATTCAAGTCAGAGAATGTTGCATATAATTAAATTTTTGCTTGATGCATAAAGTTAAAAGATTAAAACTGATAAAACAAGTTAAAAAAAGAGAGACTTTTCCATTTGATTACATTTTGTATGATAGGTTATTCAGAAAAGGTAGAATTGGGCTGAAAGATCTATCGCTTTATCACCTCTTCAGGTTGTAAATCGTGTTTTTAAAAAGTAACTAAGTAACTAAGTAATTAATTACTTTTAAAAATAAGTAATCAGTAAAGTAACGGGATTACTTTTTGGGGGAAGTAATCAGCAATTAGTTACTGATTACTTTTTTCAAGTAACTTGACCAACACTGCTCACCAAGAATGGCTTATATATTTGGGTTTTTTATGAGCCTGTCACTTCTTCCTCCACATCTTCACTACACTTGTTAAATACATATACCAAGTTTCTGACTAAAAGCTCGTTGGGAACTACTGTATTGGTGAAAAATACTGTTTTATGCCTTTGAAACTGTGCTAGCTTTGACATTTATCAACTAAATGAGAACAAATTATGCTCCAGGCTGCTAGTAATGAAAATAGTTCTTTGCCAAGTTTTATGTGTAGGCACAGCACTGGTTCAACTTGAGTGTCTTTTCTGCGTTTGAACAATCCATGAGTCAGTGTTAAATGGCTGAATAAAAAACACTCCTACAAAAACGTTCAGGTACAAGAAAATCTGGTTTGCTGGAAACATATTACAAAGAAATAAAGGGTGGCTCATTACTTTTGCACAGCACTATAGGTAGCGCTGTGGAGCAGTCATTAGCAGTACTGATGGTGACCGAACAAAGGGAAACAGAGGAAAGTGTTATAATTCCTCCTTAAATTGGGAACATTATAAAATCCTAACAGCAGTTATGACAATCTGAGATATGGCCACCTTTTCAAGGTTTTGGAATCATGCAATCCACAGCTGCTTTTTTATATTATTATCATTATTATTTTTATGAATGCTCTAATTTCCCAGATATCCTGAATGGAGCATTGGCCATGTAGGTATTTGTAATGTCCAGTGGAAGAGTGTTGCTAAATGAATGAATCAATAGGGGAATTGAAAATTAATGTTCTAAAAATGCTTCGGACAAGTTCTAAAATGTGTTGCTCACTTTAAGTGCTGAATTGTGTTAGGCTGCAGGAAGACCTGTGACAATGTCTCGAGCACAGTCACATCACTCTCTTTGGAAGCAATATTGTGGATGACAGAGAAAATAGTTGTTATAGGAGATCTTTAAAAGTCAGGTTGGTCAAATTTGAAAAGGTTCTGACCTGAGTGAAGTGAGATTGGGCAACCGGGGAAGAACAGAACAGAGAAACTCAGCTCCCTCTACACCGAGGCTGTTGTGGGAAAACCTGAATGGGAACAAACATTTTTTTTTTTACTAATTTATTTCCCTTGAGTACTACAGAGCACATGCCAATGTTAAATACTGAAATGTGACTACTTACTCCAGTTCTGTCAGAAATGGACAACTGAGGATGACGCTCTCTATGGCTGCAAGCTGATACACATTTACTGCACAGTCCACAAGGCTAAAGCAGAGAGATAAGAGGAATTCGTTTTTCCTTTATACTGTCTTTACTTTCAAAGGAATTCAGCCAGAGTGTGGTGTAAATTAATACAATTTACTAGAAAAAAAGAACAACCTTTACAACAGTGGGCTTTTTCTTTTTTCCTGCAAGGAAAGCTAAATATATAGCATATACACTGAGTAATATAGCAGTGCGTGGAGGCTGTAATCAAAGTGTGCATTCCTTGCAGGTATCATGAAAATGTAAAATATAATGTATAAAATAAAAAAGCACCCAATTTTCTTTATGGCACTCGATTGAGCTGCATTTCCAGAGAGATCACTGCAAACAAACAAGCAAAAGACACAAATCAAAAATCGGAATCATTTGATTTCTAGAAACATTAAATTCAAAATAACTGTTATTTTATATTTACACTTTAATCAATAAACTCCCGAAGAGTACAGCTGCTGTCTATATAACAATCATTAAACAATAATCATTACCTATCTGTCGTCAGTCCAGTGGAACTGGTCAGGTGGAGTGTGTTTTGATGAATCCTGGAAAATGAATATAGTTCACAGCTTTGACACACATACTGTATCTTTATTTGGGGAATGTTACAATATGTTTGATTTGTTTAAAAGGAGCATTTCCTGACATCTGTGTTCATTTGCATCTATATGCATATCTTACCTGACAGTTTGAATATTGCTATTGAGTTGCAAACAGTGGCGCATTAATCCAACCGCTTTCTCAGCGCTGATCCAACGCTCCTCAATACTGAGTAGAAAAGCACGTGTAATACACTCATTATAATTCAATGCTTTAACAGCCGTTCACTGAACAGCCATGACTGATTTGGATAAGTTGTAGTTTGAAAAAAGCCTGAAAACATTGACAGAAGAGATAATAGTAAAGATTCTTTTGTCTCACCTGAAAACACATCCACTTTGACTGAAGCTCAGCAGCTGTAGGAAATGTTCAGTCTGCTCCAGTAAGCTGTGGTTTAATCTGCAGATGAACCACAGACATATCACTATGTACTTTCTGATCATGGTTAGATAATGGAGGCCAGAAAGGAAGGTTAAACCCTGAATACCCTGAGACTCTTAGCATAAAGAGACTTTTAATAAATAATAGATGCATTTCTAATCAGTTCCTTGCTGTCTTAATGCATGCTCAATCATCCTGGTAAGAAAATCCCAAAAAGGTTCATCTTAGCGTTTTAAGTGGGAGAAACGTTTCGTCACTCATCCAAGTGACTTCTTCAATCTTAGCTGACTGCAGGTTTTTCCAACCTTATAAACAGTACATTTGCACAATATCTGAAACTAGCACCACTGAATGAGCAATGGGCTGTGAGGTCAGTGACTTGATCATTAATCAGGCAATTTCTTGCTGGTAGTTTCAAATCTAAAATGTTAACAAAGAAATATGGCCTTGTTGTGATCTTTCCATATTTTACAAGAAGTCAGTTTATGAACCAGTTTTATTAAGTGTAATAACTAATTAAAAAGAGGCCATTGTTTTTATCTGATGAAACCCAAAAATTTGTCTTAAGATTGAGGGATACTTACTCCACTTTGGCCAGATGGGGACAACTGGACACAATCTCTGCTAATCGGATCAGATGTTCATGCTTCAAACTACCTTCCCTGATTCTGATGGAGAAATAAAGCAGAGAAGGCAAAAAAAAAGCATAAAGAAATTTAGATTTTTGCAAAGTTAGTGCCAAATCCAAAATGTACTAAAATCTTTAAAAGGCCTTAACCTCTACTAAGCCCCCAAATTACATTGTAATAGTATTATATACTGGACGTTTATTGAGAGCTGGAGGACGCTGAACTCTTGTTACTGTGAGTGCTAGAGTTAAGGAAGGTACTTTCAGAGCTGCTAAAATCGATCAGACACCAGAAACTAATTATGTCTTCGAATATTTACAACCACATTCTAAGGTTCACTGCTATGCTCAGCTCTACTTCTGACATGCAAAGTCAGTTCCTTGTCGCCCACAGTGTGCAAGCTGGATTTAGAAGTTTTCAGCCGTTCATCTTTGCTGATGCAGTCAGTCAGTTTACCGACTCAGTGCATGAACCTTCAGATGTAGAGAGAGTTCACATATCTGTGCATACCGGTGAGATGTTTCCTGTGCTGCTCACGCAGGAAAAATTACAAAGCCAAAGGAGAGAGAGTCTGTTTTTTTTTCACAATGACACTTTGTTACTTTGAATACATCAGCTGTTGACTTATACAATCAGACCACATGTAAGTTTCCTTTTGTTCTTTTCTGTCTGCACACTAGTGCTGCATGGAGCTCTGCACGTCTGCATTAGTTCACGCCTCCTCTCAACATTTTAACACTCTTCAAATTTCCTGTCTACGTTGCCCTAAGTGGTGACTTTCACCACTTAGGGCTATTGTGCTTTAGCACTAAACTTTAGTGCTAAAGTTTCATGAGTGTTAATGAGTTCATCAGCTCATTTTTTTTTTTTTACTTTATCTGAAATGAAAATGTTTAAAATTTTTACTGGTTTCTTTTTTGCTGTATACAGCAAAAAACCAGTAGGTGTGAATTCTGTGTTTTTACTCGAGTCACTGTGCTCACCTCATCAAAGTGACTCAGTGGTTGTAGCTCAGGTGGCAGAGCAGGTCAGCCACTAATCAGAAGGTCGGTGGTTCGATCCCAGGCTGCTTCCTGGCTGCATGCCAAATATCTTTGGGCAAGATACTAACCCCATGTTTGCCTACTGGTGGTGGTCAGAGGGCCCGGTGGCGCCTGTGTCCGGCAGCCTCGCCTCTGTCAGTGCGCCCCAGGGCAGCTGTGGCTATGATGTAGCTTGCTATTGCCAGTGTGTGTGAATGGGTGAATGACTGAATGTAGTGTGAAGCGCTTTGGGGTCCTATGGACTAGAAAAGTGCTATACAAATGCAGGCCATTTACCATTTAATACGGGCACCGTTTCAGGATCAGAGTCAGTGTTTTGAAATTTTGGATGGAACTCCTACCTCAGAGTTTTTTCCCGAGTTTCATTTTGTCTGAACCAGATGAGGCATCGCTCTTCTTCTCCTAAGCTACCAGCAGACATCAGAAAGTAGAGTCCATGGACAAAGAGAGAGACATGGACAAATATTTCATTATAGATTACTTAGAAGAATTCCATTAACTTCTTTCCTTTGTGCAGACTTACCTCACTTCCACACCAGAGACATTAGCACAGGTACACAATGTGCTGGCCACAGCCAGCAGCCCCTGCTGGGTCAGTCTGTTGTTACTGAGACTGCACATGAAGATTCAGAAAAGAATTAGTCTATATTTTACTCATTAACTACAATACACATCATTTCTAAATATTGTAGCTTCATACTCTCAGTCTACCTGAGGTTTAATTTATTATATATTCAGCAGACAATATATTAGGTACACCTAGCCATGTTCAGAATCACTTAAATCACCTTTTTTATTAACCCATTCAGATGTTCACTTTGAACTGCATTAGGGCATCTTCACCTTATATACATGCCTAAATACATGTTGCTGTCATGTCACTGACTGATTAGATATTTGTGTCAACAAGCATTTAAACAGGTTAACTAATAAAGTCGGTGGTGCGTGTACATTTAAGTATTTTTTACTCTTCTGCTCTATATTTAATATAGAACTTAATATGTTTAAAGTCTTACTTGACATAGGTGCTGATTTTTAGCCTTGGTAGGGAATGCACAAAAGAGCCCACGTCTTCATCTTCCAGCTGGTTACTTGACAAACTGTGATGAAAGAAAAGCAGAGCTGAGCATCCTTACTGGATAAAAGCTCAGGAAGAAAACACTGGACTATCCATGGCTCCATGGGTGTGTGGTTATGATTCTAAGATTGTGTGTCTAAATGTTTGTGTGGCTCATACTCAAGATCTGAAAGCTGGGGACCCTGCTGCAGGATCTCAAGAAGTTTCTTCAAGTGGTCACCCTTCAGGCAAAAATGAGTTAACCTGTGTTACACACAATCAGGGAGACAAAAAAAAAAACATAGCACATGAAGTTGATTAATTACTAGTTATAGTAATTATTGTAAGATGCCCTCTTTTACCTGAACTTTCTAATTCTGCGGTGATTAAAATGGCAGATTGTAAAATACAGGACACCCAATGTGCTTCACACTATATAATATTGTCTTTTTCAATGAGTACCATAAAATCTTTAATTAAACTGCGCATTTCTACAGTTCTATGTATAAAACAGAAAATGACAACATATATTTTCAGTCAAATTCTAAAATAAACACAGCTTGAAATGCAGTTTAAAATGAGCAGCTAAAACTGCTATAGTGCATGAGCCGTGAATACTTGGGTAAGTGACAAAGTGAGCGGTCTGAAAACACCTACAAATGTTGTTAAGTCATCAGTAAGCAGTGAAAATGTTGCGGATCACAGACCTGCAGCTCACTTGTTCCACTTTCACTGTATCAAAATTGATGAAGGAGTCACCCCGAAGGCTAAAGAAGAGATCAAAGCAGCAATTAACCAAAACAGGTCAGTTAGAGAATTAAAGTAATTGCAGCTACAACTAAAAAGTGTGGTAGGGAAAGGAGCATCACATGAACACTCAAATATGGCATGGTGTGTTGTGATGAGTGCCACAAAAGTATTCACTGTACCTGAGCTCAACCGACGTCACTCGCTGACTGTGATTCAAACAGCTGACCAGCTCGAGTGCATCGGTTGCAGATGTGATGCTCTGTCTGACACTATTAGGAATACAGAATGAATATAGTATATTTCATTTGATGAGGTTCTTAGTATCTTACACAGTCTGAAAATAATTTCCAAACATAGTTCATAGAATAGCCACAATTTGCTTTGCCAGATTTAGCCATACAGGCTAAACTTCATCTGTAGTCTCTGGTAGGTTGATAGCGTTAATGAATAATAAAGACACCAAATGCACAAAGGCAAAATATGTAAGTGACAGAAGCATATATATGGTAAAAGAAAAACATACTGATATTATGTATTAAACATCAAAGTTTTTAATTTATAAATATCTGCAAATCTATTTTTTTGTTCTTAAAGTCATTAAATTTTAAATACTTCAGTATAAAAATAAAGACAAAAATGAATCAATATAAATAATTCATCTATAGACTGAATAAAAAGGACCAAGAATTACACCTAAAGGCATTTCAAAGTTATTGTTAACTATTTGCAGGGTTTAATTATACATTTTCATTGATGTTGTTGATGTTTTTTATCTGTAAGAGGATTTTCTCCAGTTAACTACAAGGTAATTACATAATGTCACAAACTATATATAATAAAATTAAGTGAATATGTCTAGAGAAAAATTATACACTTCTAATATCACACTTCCAATTAGAGTCGACAGCATAAAGTGAAATTACAACAGAATTTCTGCAAATCTCCTTGCAGTGTAGATGAGATTGCAACGTTCTGCAATCTCCTATAACAATAGTGATCTTCCATAATTTTTTTGTTTTATGGACCTAACATATACCCTGTGATAGGAATAGCATAGATACCCATTAGTTAAAAATAACTACACTTAAAATCACCTTCCAAATATTCAAATTTTGTGCTCAGTAATCTCAGTAGGGTGTCCTTTAAAAAGTACTCAGCAGCTTTTTTCCATATCTTCACATCTTTTCCCTACTGCACATCCGCATAATCTGACTGTCTATTGCAGGTTGTAATCCAGTGTTATTATTAATACTTGCATTAGTGTGTATGCCTTACTTGAGTCTCTGCAGTGACGTCATCTCTGGCAACACTTTGAGAAGATTCTTGATGGCTTTGTCGGTAAGTGAACACTGAGATAACCTGACAGAACACATTAGTGCATGAACATGAACGTGTTCAGTCACTACTTTAAATACTGTTGAATAATTTGCAGATATACAATAATAAAGCTTACTCTAACTCCCAATGGAAGCGACTCTGGACCAATTTTCTACATACTTTGGTTATATCAGATGGTAGGATGCTGCTGTCCTTTACTCTAGAAAGAAAAATAAAAGGGGATCATTCTTTTGTATTCATAGTCAGAGGTCAGATTTGTACTTTTCTGCATGTCTTTATTTGCTCACTGTACCGGAACATCTTCAGCTGCTGCTTGTCATCACTGACATAGAAATACAGTAGAGAGTTAGATTATTAAACAGAAAAACTAAACGGAGACAACAAGAATCAGACTGTGTGAACGTTTGCATAGATGCAGGTCTTCTACCTTTCATCTGGGCAGAACTTTAGATTGACTTCCTCTTTGCCTCCGCCACTGTAAAACCAACAGAGCACAACAGCCAATTATAATTAACCTGACTGATTACTGTAAAACTATATGACCAGTGTTGGGCAAGTTACTTTGAAAAAGTAATTAGTTATAGTTACTAGTTACTTCTTCAACAAAGTAACCGAGTTAGTAACTGAGTCACAATATTATAAAAGCAACTAATTACGAGGAAAAGTAACAATTGCGTTACTTTAAAAAAATGTTTAAATATGTATAAGAATCCCCTCTTAATGGAACTTACTAAAATACAAACATATAAATAGCTAAACATACTTGAAAATACTAAAATATATATTCAGCTGTTTGTTATAAAACTGAAAATATAATTGAAATAAATGGGCAGTTAACAGAAGGAACTAATAAGAAACATTGTACACTAATCTAAACTATTCAAATGTTACTTTATGAAAATATGAAATAAAACACCAATCAGATAAACTCTAGATAGAACAATACAACACACTATGACTACCATGACTACCTTACTCTTCCTCAGCCAATCAGCAGCACTCGTGCGATTGTTTCGCACCCCTAGCCCCCGGTAAGATGACATAAGCGTCAACCATCTGTGTGTTTAAAAATAGTAACACACCCACACCGCTTTTTTTTCTTAGTAATGGTAACAGTGTTTTAACGATAGTAAAAGTAATTCGTTAGATTATCTGTTACTGAAATAAGTAACAGCGTTAGTAACGCTGTTTATTTTAATGCAGTTATTCCCATCACTGTATATGACATGTAGTATTGTATGTAATTATGTATTTATAGTATTTTTCAAACAGATAGATTTTTTAAACCCAGACCGGGATAAGAGGCACAAACAGTTGGGTAAAGCAGCTCTTGGTATCATTAAATAGCTACAATGTAAAACAAAGATTACCTGATGTGAATTTCTGTTAAGGTGTTATACGAGCATAGAGCTGCAGCCAGCATTACCACCCCTTCCATGTTGATGTCATTTTTACTGGCACTGGAAAAACCAAAAGCAATTAGCACAAGGAAGTTGGTGTTGGCTGTTTGGAACCTGTTTGGTGAGAAAACAGCTGACCATTTGCCTACCTACTTTGTATATCTCAATGTAAAAAACAAAGAGTCATCTTTCTATTGAAATACTCGCAAATTACTAGAGAGGCAATAGAGGGAAATTCCACCACCAGGGTCACTTACAATATAGTTGTTGGTATCTTTAGCTACAGTGGGGCAAAAAAGTATTTAGTCAGCCACCGATTGTGCAAGTTCCCCCACCTAAAATGATGACAGAGGTCAGTAATTTGCACCAGAGGTACACTTCAACTGTGAGAGACAGAATGTGAAAAAAAAAATCCATGAATCCACATGGTAGGATTTGTAAAGAATTTATTCGTAAATTAGGGTGGAAAATAAGTATTTGGTCACCTCAAACAAGGAAAATCTCTGGCTCTCACAGACCTGTAACGTCTTCTGTAAGAAGCTTTTCTGTCCCCCACTCGTTACCTGTATGAATGGCACCTGTTTGAACTCATCATCTGTATAAAAGACACCTGTCCACAGCCTCAAACAGTCAGACTCCAAACTCCGCCATGGCCAAGACCAAAGAGCTTTCGAAGGACACCAGGAAAAGTATTGTAGACCTGCACCAGACTGGGAAGAGTGAATCTACAATAGGCAAGCAGCTTGGTGTGAAAAAATCAACTGTGGGAGCAATCATCAGAAAATGGAAGACATACAAGACCACTGATAATCTCCCTCGATCTGGGGCTCCACACAAGATCTCATCCCGTGGGGTCAAAATGATCATGAGAACGGTGAGCAAAGATCCCAGAACCACACGGGGGGACCTGGTGAATGACCTGCAGAGAGCTGGGACCAAAGTAACAAAGGTCACCATCAGTAACACACTACAACGGCAGGGAATCAAATCCCGCAGTGCCAGACGTGTTCCGCTGCTGAAGCCAGTGCATGTCCAGGCCCGTCTGAAGTTTGCCAGAGAGCACATGGATGATACAGCAGAGGATTGGGAGAATGTCATGTGGTCAGATGAAACCAAAGTAGAACTTTTTGGTATAAACTCAACTCGTCGTGTTTGGAGGAAGAAGAATACTGAGTTGCATCCCAAGAACACCATACCTACTGTGAAGCATGGGGGTGGAAACATCATGTTATGGGGCTGTTTTTCTGCCAAGGGGACAGGACGACTGATCCGTGTTAAGGACAGAATGAATGGGGCCATGTATCGTGAGATTTTGAGCCAAAACCTCCTTCCATCAGTGAGAACTTTGAAGATGAAACGAGGCTGGGTCTTCCAACATGACAATGATCCAAAACACACCGCCCGGGCAACAAAGGAGTGGCTCCGTAAGAGGCATTTGAAAGTCCTGGAGTGGCCTAGCCAGTCTCCAGACCTCAACCCCATAGAAAATCTGTGGCGGGAGTTGAAAGTCCGTGTTGCTCGGCGACAGCCCCAAAACATCACTGCTCTCGAGAAGATCTGCATGGAGGAATGGGCCAAAATACCAGCTACTGTGTGTGCAAACCTGGTAAAGACCTATAGTAAACGTTTGACCTCTGTTATTGCCAACAAAGGTTATGTTACAATGTATTGAGTTGTATTTTTGTTATTGACCAAATACTTATTTTCCACCCTGATTTACGAATAAATTCTTTACAAATCCTACCATGTGGATTCATGGATTTTTTTTTCACATTCTGTCTCTCACAGTTGAAGTGTACCTCTGGTGCCAATTACTGACCTCTGTCATCATTTTAGGTGGGGGAACTTGCACAATCGGTGGCTGACTAAATACTTTTTTGCCCCACTGTATAAATATCTCAAGGAAAGCTTTAAAAGAGGTAGAATTATTAATTAATTATTAGTTATAATGATTGTGTGTGAGCATTGTGACAGACTAGCAGCCTGTCCAAATATCTACCCCCCTACAGACACCCTATGCCACCCTATGACAAGCTCCAGCCTCGGTCAGAGAGAATAAATGCATGCGTGTGAGCTTACTTAATTTCCTGGATTTTGCTAAGACGAGGCAGGAAATCCAACAACTTCTTCAGACCCTTGTTGCCTAAACAGTTACTGGACAAACTGAAAAGAAAGGTTAAAAATGCTTTACAACTCAGTGTTTGTACATTTATCAAGAGAACATGACAAAAATGAGTCAGTATATCAATATCAGTAGTGCACACACACCTGAAATGTGTAATGAGTGTGAACAGTGGTCTCTTTTTCCTCTAAATGTGATACATTTGTTGAGATCTTTCTATTAATACTACAAATTACAGTTATTTACAATATTTATATATAATTAAATATGCGTGTGTGACATGCATAATAAATTTGTTAAGCACTGTATAAGCTATCTAATGGTTACCTGTAAGCAAAAACCATGATGGTGCATCATTTAAGAGGTGGTTTAGGATGATGCTCAGTTTACTTCATAAACTGAGCATACACTGTCATTTTTAGAATAATGTCCAAGACATCAGTTTTTAACACAAATGTGTAGTAGAAAGTTTTTTTTGATTGCCCGACACACTTTGTAAATATCTTTCCTTTCTTTGCACCATTATCTTCGTAATTGTAGACACTTGTATTCATACGGCTCCCCCTGAAAACTTTCTAGGCTTTTTACACATAAATTTATTATCTACTAATTAGAAATGGTCCTATTTTTATTATCTGTCCATGGTGTGTGCACTTTCATGGTTCTTGCTCATCTTACTCCAGCATAGTGAGATCAGAAGAGGTTCCCAGACATCTCAACACACTTTCCAGATCAGCAGGATACAGATTGCAGAAGCTGAGGCTGAAAGACGCAAAAGCTGAATGATTATCATTAATACTGATGACATATCATTATTGGACAAAGGATACACCTGAACAACCCATTATAACAATTAAAACATTAAAACTTTTTGCTAGATAACTGATGGTCTGTTGGTTACCAGCTTAAAATGATCGCTTTACTCATTCTAAATGCTACCCTACTATTGTTCTGCAACATCAAATATATTGTTGTTGTAAGCTTGTGTTACAGAAGCATTAACATACCAGAGAGATTTGGATATTCCGCTTGCAGGTTTTTCCCTTCCCCTAGCAAACACAATAGACACCTTAACAGGAACCTGTAATCTGCAACATAAAGAAACATTCAGATACAGAGCAGAGATGACAGCAATAACTCTAACATAAGTCTAATTTTGCATTTCCTGGTACAGTATGTCTAGAAGTTCCTGCAACTATGGTTGCTAAGATTAAATGCGTGTTTGTACCTGACATGAAGCTCCATCACAGGAGGATAATCAGACAGTAGAGCAGTCAGAACCACCAAACCCTCCACTGATGAGCAGCTGTCATTAATGCTGAGAAAAGATTGTAAAACATCAGTTAAATGCTGCTGGGTTTTATGTGCAGGTATAGCAAAGTGCACAGCAAGCACAACACAAACAATTGATTTCTTTTAAAACCTAGTCTTACATGAGCTTGTCAGTAATGCTGAACTTTGGCAAAAACTCAGTCAGTGTCCTTAAAATGTCTTCATCCCACTGGCCTCCAGACAGACTAGAGTGCAAAGACATACAGTAAAACAGCCACACACATTGACAGGCCTTTGGCTAGCATTCATTTACCAATGTAATATGCACACAGTGTAGTTTGCAGATTGTTCAACTACTTTAGCAGAGGGAAAACAGTAAGTCAATAACTAGTGCATTGTTGCTATTCTATTCATTACTGATGTTGTCTGTGTCATCTGCTCTGAATAGGTTTTTCTAATTATGAAGGTGTGTACTTATGAAATCTTACTCTAGGACAGACAGCGCAGGGCATTGAGCCAAGGATTCAGCAAGTTTCTGCATCTCCGACTTGTTCCAATTCTGGTTCAGCAAGCTGGAGAAAAATGACACCATCATAATGCAAACGTCCATGATACAAAAAACCTCAAAAATACTAAACTGTGACATTTAGAGTCACATTTAAATCAACATCCATTGTGGACTTGCTACATGTATATCTTTGTACTACATTGTTGATGCTCAATAAACATTTAAAAAAAAAAAATTAAAACTAAAAAAATAAATCAACATCCACATAAACGTCCTTTCTAGTCACGATCTTTTGAAGCCAAAAAAAAACAAACAAACAAAAGAAAACAGTAAAGGTGAATGCACATTTGGCTGACACCCATTTAAAGGTGCAAAGTTCATCAAGGAAACTGGCAAATCTCTGTGGTAAGGCAGTTACGGTAAACTGACTTGTTTGTTTCATATCTTACCTGATTGTTGATTCAAGTATAGATTTATGGCTGTAGAGCGGAAAATATAAATATATCAGAATTTTACTATGTTCATTTTATTGCTTTATTTAGTTTATAAGCATAAAAGTCACCTGTTCATATCTGACTTTTGGAAGAAAGTTACTGTCAAGTCTTTGATCCCCCTGCAAAGAAAAAGAACCTGGACTGGAGTACACGTTTATGACACACTTATGTTTACCTGGTCTTGTCATTATAACTTCATCAATAGCAATCAGCTACTTTGAATTTCAGGAATCTCAAATCTCTATGACTGAGAAAATATTAATAGTGCAGTGAGCATTACTGACAAAAGCGAGTTAAAATGTGTGTAATTTTTATTTCTTTTAAACAACAATCCGTGTGCCATAACTGTGCCTTAACCGCCACTTCGTGTGCATGTGTGTGTGGTCTTACTCTGCATGAACATGTTGGATGTTCAAACATGAAGACATCGTTTTAATAAGACAGTCGACTGCATTCAGGGTTGTGCTGTTTCGTCCCAGCCTACAAAGAAGCACACACACATATGATCACCACACAAAGTCTTCTGCATTGTTAAGTACAGACGAGTCTTTGCATTAGAAATGTGAGAACTTACGCTACATTCGAAAGGTTTTGTAGTTTGGTAAAAATCTCTGCAATGCGACTGATTCCTTCATCCCTCAAATTGTTGTCACTTACGCTGAAAAAACCCCCCCAGAAGAAAAATGAGCAGAAACTTTAAGCTCAGCATTATTAAAAGCATCTGGATAATCGAGCAGTAAGCTAATCGTGCACTATATTGAACAACAGAAGATATACTTGATATCAGTGATGTGTGGACACTCCTGAAGACCAGAGGCCAAACTAGCTGCTCCAGTAGCAGTCAGGCTGGCACCAGAAAACCTTGTGAACACAAACGCAAACAGGTAATTATTGTCGTTAAGGGACAATTACCTTTAATATATTTTTCGCAGGAATAAAGCAACGATATAAAACATACTCTAGTTTTCGCAGGGATGTGAATTTAGGCAAAACAGACGACAACTTCTCAGCAAACTTGTCCCCATACTTGCGGCTGTGAAAACTGTAAGGACACATAGTGAATAACAATAAAGTAATTATTATTCATAAGGAAGCATCAGATTAGAAACTGCAAAAAGAAAAACAATCAGTTCAAAGCCTCAATTTAAAACAAACAAACTGCTTTTTACCAGCATCTCTATAGTTGATAGAATATTTCTTGATGCTGCTATGTTTTTAATTACAAATTATTATCTAAGCCGCCAGGTGGGAAATTCCAATGCTTAATCTTTTCTTGAATGTAGTATTTTAATTAAAGAGGATAAAACAGACTCGGATTCCCAGAATCATAATATGAGATGAGATCTATTTGTTTAAATGTCAGTGTGAATGTCTGAACATAACTAAATAAGGAGGCATTCAAATATATAAAAAATGGTAACTCTTTCTTAAAGAGGTGGTGACAGAGACAGATTTCTGTGACGCAGGGAATCAAACTAGATTCACAGACTACAAACTGAAAGCCAAAGTAAGGTTTATAGGAGCTTTGGAGTTGTAACCTGTAATCTCTTTTAACCCTGTATAATATTTGATACATGAGATTTTGAGACCTCTATATCATCAGCATGTTTCTAAAAAAAAATAAAAAATGAAACCTCATACATGGAAACTGTTATTTATTGATTTTTTTAATTGTCAGCATTTGTCCAATTTGTCAAATTAAAAGAAAATCAAATGTCTGGCATTAATCCATGCTTCAGGCTTTACGGTTAATAATTCACTCTATGTAATCCAGAATAAACTGGAACTAAATCCCCGTGACAGAGGTAATTTGATGGGATTGAACACCGGTTATATCACGTTTGCTTTACTTGTATAATTTGTACAGGGTTTGGGGGTTTACAGCAGTTTTCTGAATTATAATTTTCACATTTCTAAATCATATAATGACGGATAGTTTATTACATGTACCAACAGTATTGTTAGTGTTTTACATGTGGATGATAACAACTTTTTTTTCACTCAATAGTCTTTTCATTGGCTGCCTTCCAGGTGGCTTTTCTTGCACATGCTTTCTCTCCCACTGTATACTCTCTGGTGTTTGGAGCCCATCTGGTTCTATGTATGGGTGGTCTCTATTTGTCATGTCCAAAATGAAATAAGAAATATGTGCCGGTATTCTTTTTGTTTTCATATTTGTCAAGATCAAGAACCGGGTACTGGGTTTAGGATTAAGAGTTGGATGACTGCCCAAATAAAAAATCTAGTTTAATAGCTTACTTGTGCCTGGGTGAGATAAAGTATACACATGAAATAATTATGGTGTAACTATGTGAGAACTGTAGAGAACAGCTGATAAGTTCTGCTTGCACCCTTGACTGTTCACTAGTTCTAGTCTGCACAGGAGGATCGAACCACTGTCAGTAAAACAACATTTTCTGCTCACCACAGCTGTAAATATCTATTTCAGGTACCTTCTGCATCTTGTCAACAAGATATTTTCTGTGTATAGAGTTCCTACGCTGCTGTTCTGAACATACTTATAGACTGCTGTGTACAGTCACATTTTTCCTCATTCTAATTTTCCAAGTTATCATTACAGTTTATGACTTGTATACTTATATACTGGTTCTCTTTATAACCACAAGCAGATGTACTGGTGTTCGTAATAAAATTGAGGTTTCGGTTTGTTTTACACACACATTAATGAGCTATCACTGCAGCACTTTTTCAGACACTGTCTCGCTTTACTTTTAATGTCTGAGCTGAAATCTTTATGGTCAATGCAACTTTATTTGATACCAAGATATCTTAGTTTCACAATATGTACGGGTTACGCTATATTTGTCATTAAATTCTTGTTTCTGATAAGGAAAACATCAGGAAGAGCAACTAAGGAGGGATAGCTTTCCCGCTAGACAGACATTAGATGTTAGTGTGCATAATTATATAAAATTAACAATAAAGATGTTTCAACTTTCAGAATTAGGCAGTATAAACAGATGACTAACACAATGTGACATGACAACGTGCAGCTTACAGATTTCGCTAAACAGATAGGCCCCGTCCCACCCACTCTTCAAGACATGCAAGTGCAAACTTGTGTGGAAAAACATTCTTTTTCGAGTTGATAAAGAAATACTTTCAAAGAATCAGTGGTTGTGTTTTTGCAGTTGAGTCCAGACTATTTTCTGTCTTCTTGTAACAAGAATACTGAGCTCATTCACTGTCACTGTATGACAGGTGGCCAGTCAGCTGAGGAATGTCAAAGGCAAAGCTGCAGCTCTATTAACAACAACATTCACTGCTGCTGTGTGACTAGTCCTCTCTCTGCATGTCCGTGGGCTAAACATGGGTTTTATAATTTCTGACAGATCAACACCGTCCATTTCAACACTCTCATGTGTCACAATGATGGCTTTCCAATGGTCCTATAGTGCATTCCCACAAATATCATATTAATAACCCTGTGAAACCTTTTCAAATAAATGCTGACCTGTAAGATTTAACATATCCAGGATGGTACAGTAATATAATAAAAACCCTTGTCTCAAAATCAAAATAAACTTTTGTATTCTAATTAATAGTTTATTTTTGCTAGTTTTATTTAGGTTAGCTAAAAAAAATTACACGTAGGTTTCTGGAGGGTTTTTGTTACACTTTAACTTCTGTAACTCGTAAACATCTGTGTAGCCTCACCTGAGGTTATGAATGCCCTGACACCTGGCCAGAACTATTAAACACTCCGGCTCCATGGAGCACGCTCCGAAGTCCAGACCGATGTCATTATGATCGGCTGAATTAACTACGAAAGCCAGAGCTTCGATATCATTCGGTAACAGCCAGATGTTGCGCAGCTCCAGTTTGGGTCTCACACCAAAAACCTGCTTGGCGAGTTGGTGGTTCTGGCTCTCCTGAACACTGTGGCAAAGCTGGAGTATCTGGCAAAATATAGCAAAGAAAAGATCAGTAACAAAGAGACAGAAAATAAAATCTGTTTCCTGTTTTTCATTCTACCTTTGGTCCGGTCAGAGTGTTACTGTTACACATGGTTTTGAGCAATGTCAGAACAAGGTCTTGCCGTTTCTGGACCCAACTTTGGGCTCTGCCAGAAACCTTGGCTAACTCAACCAGGGCTGGAGTGCATTCTGAGGAAGCCAGACCGCAAACATAGAGGTACAGTGAGTCAGTGAAGACCGTCTTCTGGTCTGATTTGGTTGTCCAGCGAGTTTTCAGACTGAATCTGAGGATATAATGAGAGGAAAGTCAACTTCTGAATTATGATGCAAATTAAAGCATGTTACAACACTGTCCAGATGATAGTTTCAACACTCTTCTGGGAGATGTGAATAATAATAATATGACCTGGCATACTTTGAAATACAATAAATAATATTATTTTAAGATTTAACAGGTAGGACAAAAACAAACAACTTCTACAGTGCAGCCTACAAAGCAAACAGAGTGGGAAGAAAGCACAGTACACCAGTTTGAATGGTTTGCATCTTTTCTTCTGTTCAGGTGCATTAATTTTACTACATTCCCCAAATGCTCACGGAATGAAACACAACAAAACGTCAAAGCCAGAACTGAACTAGTCATTTTGCAGCTGCCTGACTGATTTCAAACCAGACGCCTCCAGAACCTCACTCAGAAACATGTGAAATCAAAGGGTTAAATGAGGAAGTGTGAGCAAACAGACCTGTTATCTAATCATTTAAGGAACTGGGTATGGGTGAGGTCCTTTTTGCAATCCACCTTGTCAACTAAATATGATTAAAGTGTGAACAAATCCATATCACACATCAAAAAAATGTAGTGATTCTTTAGGGGAAACAATGTGAGATTTATTAAAATACAGCTGTATGAATAGATTTCATGGTGTTGTAAACCTGAGTGCTGCAGCAATTAAAAAAGCAATTAATTAATTAAAATTTAAGTCATTAATGAATGCGTGCCCCCTGTTTAAATACTCTAAAGCACAAGTTACTGTGTCGTGGCTGCAGTTATTTAAAAAGTCCTAGAGAAGGAGCTTCAAGTCTATATATGTTTGGACATATGAGAATGGATCTGAAGCTGAAAAGGGGATGGAAGATGAGCTCTATAAGGGAAGGGTGCAATTTGGATGTCAGAGGGTGGAGCTTAGCATCTGTGGGCTCTGATGCAATTAAATTCCTGCTTTTAAAATGACTCGTGATAAAAACAACATCCTTTCACAAAAGAATAAATAAATCCATGAAGCTGCATTGTCATTTTTAGAGGAAGCAGTAGCATGTGGTGGAGTACAACCTGGGGTTGTGATATATGTTAAACTACATGTAGCCACATACAAGAGGCCTCTTAGCGAGTGACTGTGGTCGCCTGCTGCTTAGTTATGTCAGCTGTGCCATATTTCAATTTCAGTGCCCCCACCTTTGCACAGTCTCACAGACTCTCGCAGTGTGATTTGAGCCGTCACTTTATGCCTACATCAGTGTTTTCTGATGTAAGGACTAAGGACAAATATGTCTCGTACTGTAGCGTGCTTAACTCGCACAGCTCAGGTTGCTTCCATGGCAGAGTTATTCCTGGTATACCGTGTGACTTTACATAGTCAAATTCCATCTTGCTTTCTTCCACATATTCTAAATGAGATTCATTAATTAACTGTTGAATCTTTAAATATATTCATCATGATTCTGCTGTGTGTGTGAGCTTCTCTTTTAGCTTAGGCGACAAACTTTTGTTTCCACAGCTTTTCAAACACTCCATCACACACTAGTGTCTACCTGATCTGAAAGGAACTTATCTATTTCGGGACCAGGCAGAGACTGCCCAGCACCAAGTTGGGAGGACAGGTGTACACAGAAGCGTCATTCAGCAAGGGCAGCAACAAGAAAGGTGACCGTATTTAGGACATTTTGTTCATTTGGTTAATTAACAAAATTGTTTCCAGGATGTAAATTTGCGGATAATTTAATCAATCAATGTGTAATAATGTCGTGAATGTTATACTGTTATCTGTCATTTGAATTTGTCCCTCACCAGTGAGAGAGTAAAGTGCAGGGGTTACTGTGTATGTGCCGGTAGACTAAAATAGTATCTGGCTATTTTATTAGGTACACCTTGCCAATTTTGAGTTATGTTTCAACTTGTAACTTATTCAGTGATGCTCTTGTAGACAGCTTGGTTGTAACAAGTGGTTCTTAGAATTATCAATTCTGTTCTTTCAGCTCAAAGAATTCTGCGCGTTCTCCCATCACCAACACATTTTCACCCAGAGAACTGTCACTCACTGGTTATTTCCTCTTTTTCAGACCATTCACTGTAAAAACTAGAGTTGGTTATGTGGGGAAATTCCAGTAGATCAGCATTTTCGGAAAAAAACCCAGACCAGACCATCTGGCACCAGCAACCACGCCACGTCACTTAAATCACCTTTCTTCCCAATTCTGATACTTGGTCAGAACTTCAGCAGGTCATCTTGACCGTGTTTTGATGCCAAAAGTAGAGAGCTTCTGCCGTGTGACTCCGTAGTTTCTCCATCAGGTGGGCTATATAACCTAAACAGGTCTTAACACTGCAATCATCTTAAAAATTACACCCATATTTCTCTCCATTTGGCTTCCTTACCTCTTCTTAAGCTGTGCGTCATTAACATCATTACTAGTCATGATTCTCAGTGCAGCTAAAAACTCCTGCACTGTCAGATGAATGAAGCAGTAGGCATTGGCAAGTATCCCGTCCTGACGTCTGAGCTCCACCTAACAGCAGGTAAGTAATTATGTTATTATTAATAATATCTTACAAACATGACAAGTCATCTAAAGGGACAACCTTTATCTACCCTTACTCTGTTTACTACACACAGCCCTATCTATGCCCACTGTAAGGAAACACAAATAACTTTTGCCCACTAAGCAAATCTATTAATAGTATCAATAGTATAAATAGCATGCAAACACTCGACAACAAGGATTTTGTGGACATTCACAGATATGAGGAGGACATTAATGCATGCATTCATGTCTGACCTGTGATAAGAGTCCTATTTTCAATGAAAACTTTAAAACCTCCTGTGGAATCTCTTCTTTCAAAAAGAGTATCTTGCTTTCCTCTAAGCCTCTCCAAGCCAGCTGGCTCAGCTCACACAGCTCCGATTGATACTGACTCAGAATGGTCAGTGTGGTGACAGCACTGCACGGAAAGACAGAAAACAGAGATAATCCATAAACTGAAGCATGACGCGTTTTTTGCTACACTGGTGCTTTCTTTTCTAAATAGTCATTTTTTTAATTACTTTATATTTTTTGAAATATAATGTTCAAGATGGTGATACACTAGAGTGAGTTCACAGCTCCGTCTCTACCTGTGAGGAAATCTTTTAGTTTTTGGCTTGCCATCTCCTCCGTGGTTAGGGGCTCGGCTAAGAAATGAGGCCAGAACAGTGAGGTAGACCTGAGTTAGGGTGGCGGGGACTTGGAGTGAAGTGGGAGTCAGCTGAGGTCTGCCATTTGTTCCATCCATTATTACATCTTTGCTCCCTTTTCTTTTTCCATCCTCTTGTTTCCTTTGTGCAGGGTTTCCTCTTCTATTGCCCTCCTCCCCTCTGGCTTCTCTTGACATCTGTGCTCCTTCTGCTTCCTGAGCATCTGTCCTTGCCTTACTTCCTTTTTCGTCAGGCATCGGTGCTCCTCCTGTGTCTTTATCTCTACACTGCAGCAGTAAATGCTCAAGACAGATGCAGCAGATGTTGCATAGGGCAGGAATGGAAGACATGGCGAGGAGGTGTCGACTGGAGAGAAGGAGCTGTGCTGCCTGCTCTCTAAGAGCTACATCTGCTGGGTGTAAATGATGATTAAACTAGTTAAAGACAACATACATTTAAGATAGATGTGCACAAGAATTTTATTTATTATTTTTACACCAATTTTTTCATGTTAGTAATGCAGCTATTACGCATGAGGTCCTGTTTTATGTGGAAATTACTCATTTCTACTAGTTTGAAAGTCTAAATTTTAGCAATTTGCCAGTTATACCTGGATACAGGTGCTGGTTTGCAGGTCTAAATGAGCAAATATAGCACTGCAAAAAATGTAGATAATCCCAGATTAGGGTTATTTACATAAGATACTGCCAACAAGTAAAATAAACATGCAAGTTCAAACTTGGCTGATATTTATGTGAGTCTTGAAACCCACAGCAACCATAACTGAAGAGAAAATAAAAAATGCAGACAAGTGTCAAGTAAGAGTCAAAGAGAAAGCGAGAAAAAATATCAGAGACAACTTTGGCTGTGGGGAAAGAGAGAGTTAGATGTTTTCAAGAAATGAATATGCAGCAAAAATCTGATGTCCAGAAAACCATATTTTATCAGTTAATACAAAAAAGTAGTAATAAGTGAATTATTCCTTTTTTTTCTAACTTGATATAATTGTATTGCCTTGATTATATATACTAAGCACCAACTTCCACAGAGAAAAATTAAGTTAATACAGAAGAGCCAAAAACAACACTTCCTCAAAGCTTTACAGAAATAAATAAAACAAATAAAATAATTAAATAAAGCCCAACAACAATGTAAATACAAGTAAATAAAGTTTTCACCTTTTGCATCAAAGAAGTTGTCTACATACTCCTTGATCTCATCCTGGTCCCAGCCCAGCAGCTGGCCTACTTTATCTGAAATGCCATCCAAATCTATAAGATCCCGTACACGACAGGTGACCAGCACAGTGCTTCCTGGAAGAATCTGGCGATTTAGCAACCCTGAGATGAGGTCTGCGACAGGCAGAGGATCTTCTAAGTGCAGCGGTTTCCTCTGCACTTCTTGTCTGCTGAGTTTGCCGTGAAACTCATCATAGCCATCCAGTACCCAACAGCTTTGCTCTGGATTAGTAAGGAGGTAGTCGATAATGGCTCTCTGTTCAAATGAAGAATACGTTTAGAAGCAGTTGAATTTCACACCTGTAGTTTGTTTACTCTGGCCCAAATCAGCTGATGAGTTCATAAAACTGTAGCCCTTTTCCCATGGATTCATTTTTTTTCTTACACAAACACAACTCTGATCTTCAATTTACATTCATTTTACCACTAATATGATATGATATTCTGTCACATCCCAGAGTGCAAAGCATAACTAACTATGTGAAGGGGTTTAGCTCAAACCAGATTTTGATTTAAATGAAATGCATCCCTATGTTTAGTATCACAAATGTACTGTTTTATAACAAGTATTACTCAAGCATTACGTGCGTACCTTTGCATCTTCTCCCCCAGTTGGAGGGAGGTAGTACTGGAAAAGCAGCTCTGATAGTGAAAGAGGGTGTGACAGTAGGTTGAGCTGACGAAACTCCAGCAGGACAAACACAAAGGATGAAGGGATAGGACCCTGGATGAGATGGAGAGGAGAACAATTGGCAGAGGAAAAAAGTCATATCAAATTCTGTTTGCACAGCTTAGGTAGTTTCACAAATGTGAAAGTTGTAAAACGCATTCATTGGCTCCAGAAGAAACGTGTTTGCAGTGGAAAAATGGCTGAACAAGTAGCTGCCTGATAGTAGCAGGAGTATCTTTACTTTTATTCTTAATGCACCAAATTGATAATTTATTGATTAGGTTTTTCCAGTAAACAATGAGAATGCAGAGTTTGGATCATCTGCAACCTCTGCAAGGTCAGTGATGGTTCCTAAGCCTACAGCATACTCTAATAATGATAACCACAGTAAATACAGTATGGATACAGTATGGAAATAAAGCTGCTCTATGTTTTTATAACACTAGCATGCAAATTCTGGGACAATGGCTCTTCCTTTATTCCTCTGAATACAAATAAGACCAGCACTAGCCATACAGATGAACATAGAACATGTCTGATAACGCAAATAATTATAAATGTTGACAAAAAGTGAACTTACTAATCCACTAGCCCACTGCTGTCCTAAACAGGATGTTAGCAGAGTTTTTCCTGATCCAGTCTGGCCCACCAGAACTGTCACTTTACCCATACATCCCTGGAGGAACGTCTCCAATGTCACTCTGGACTCCAAATACCCGTAATCCCCATCGGGCTCTGAGTTTGGTGAGAAAGATGTGAGGTGTGCAGCAGACTTCAAATATTCATGATTAGGTAAGTTTACATGAAAAGCTTAGAACATACAAAACTGCTATGATTTTATTTCTTTGTGCACCACAAGATACTTTTAAAAAATCCCTTTATTTTAAAAAAAGTCCAATCATCAACTGGTACAATTAGAGGAAGTCTTGCTGACCTGGTGTTCTGCCCCCTCTGTCTGCTGAGCCAGGGGTTTGATCAGGTCTGTCTCTGCTTCTGTTTGCCGCTCTTGGGCTGACCCATACATTCTCCAGCTGGACCTCCCTCACCAGGCCAGCTGTGAGTCGCTCCCATCTCTTCAGCAGGAATTTCTTCACTTCACTGATGTACTGCTCCCAGTGATCTGTGGGTGGAACCCATTATAAAAGTTAGAAGTGAATAACACAGATAATCTCTTTACAGTGCGATTGTATTGCTTAAAAATGTCAGCCCTGGGTTTCAGGTTGATCTTATTTTGATATCTAAGACATAGGCCTGCTCTGATGACATCAGCTTCCCGCAGTGTACAATAATTGCTCAACTACATGAAGCAGCACAACTAAATGCTAAACTAAAGACTTCCTCATCAATTTCAACTGATTATCTGTGGGATGATGTGTAACACTCATCCACGTAAGCCCAATTTCCCTATCCCCTACATACAACATAAAAACAATTCGCCACCAACACAGTGATGCTAGATACCACAGAGTTCATACAGGGAGTGCAGAATTATTAGGCAAGTTGTATTTTTGAGGAATAATTTTATTATTGAACAACAACCAATGAACCCAAAAAACTCATTAATATCAAAGCTGAATGTTTTTGGAAGTAGTTTTTAAGTTTGTTTTTAGTTTTAGCTATTTTAGGGGGATATCTGTGTGTGCAGGTGACTATTACTGTGCACAATTATTAGGCAACTTAACAAAAAACAAATATATACCCATTTCAATTATTTATTTTTACCAGTGAAACCAATATAACATCTCCACATTCACAAATATACATTTCTGACATTCAAAAACAAAACAAAAACAAATCAGCGACCAATATAGCCACCTTTCTTTGCAAGGACACTCAAAAGCCTGCCATCCATGGATTCTGTCAGTGTTTTGATCTGTTCACCATCAACATTGTGTGCAGCAGCAACCACAGCCTCCCAGACACTGTTCAGAGAGGTGTACTGTTTTCCCTCCTTGTAAATCTCACATTTGATGATGGACCACAGGTTCTCAATGGGGTTCAGATCAGGTGAACAAGGAGGCCATGTCATTAGTTTTTCTTCTTTTATACCCTTTCTTGCCAGCCACGCTGTGGAGTACTTGGACGCGTGTGATGGAGCATTGTCCTGCATGAAAATCATGTTTTTCTTGAAGGATGCAGACTTCTTCCTGTACCACTGCTTGAAGAAGGTGTCTTCCAGAAACTGGCAGTAGGACTGGGAGTTGAGCTTGACTCCATCCTCAACCCGAAAAGGCCCCACAAGCTCATCTTTGATGATACCAGCCCAAACCAGTACTCCACCTCCACCTTGCTGGCGTCTGAGTCGGACTGGAGCTCTCTGCCCTTTACCAATCCAGCCACGGGCCCATCCATCTGGCCCATCAAGATTCACTCTCATTTCATCAGTCCATAAAACCTTAGAAAAACCAGTCTTGAGATATTTCTTGGCCCAGTCTTGACGTTTCAGCTTGTGTGTCTTGTTCAGTGGTGGTCGTCTTTCAGCCTTTCTTACCTTGGCCATGTCTCTGAGTATTGCACACCTTGTGCTTTTGGGCACTCCAGTGATGTTGCAGCTCTGAAATATGGCCAAACTGGTGGCAAGTGGCATCTTGGCAGCTGCACGCTCGACTTTTCTCAGTTCATGGGCAGTTATTTTGCGCCTTGGTTTTTCCACACGCTTCTTGCGACCCTGTTGACTATTTTGAATGAAACGCTTGATTGTTCGATGATCACGCTTCAGAAGCTTTGCAATTTTGAGACTGCTGCATCCCTCTGCAAGATATCTCACTATTTTTGACTTTTCTGAGCCTGTCAAGTCCTTCTTTTGACCCATTTTGCCAAAGAAAAGGACGTTGCCTAATAATTATACACACCTGATATAGGGTGTTGATGTCATTAGACCACACCCCTTCTCATTACAGAGATGCATATCACCTAATATGCTTAATTGGTAGTAGGCTTTCGAGCCTATACAGCTTGGAGTAAGACAACATGCATGAAGAGGATGATGTGGACAAAATACTCATTTGCCTAATAATTCTGCACTCCCTGTAGGTCCATGTGTCAAAGAGGCAGAGCTTTTTTGGCAGCACAGGCTTTACTGCCAAGATAAGGCAAAGGGTTTGAGTGCTAAAAAAGTGATAAGTCCTTTAAAACTTTAACCTAAATTAGCAATACCACCATGCTGGATTAATTATTGTGAGAACTAGATAGGTACTGGAAATTTTCCAAGATGGATCCCAGTCTTTCCACTGTCAGCTGCACACTTACTGTATTGTGTTTTAACTCTTCCTAGTTTCTTATCATAAACTCTTGTTTTTGTTTTTATTAATAAATCAATGAATTAAATATTTCTCTTTGTTGGTTTGTGTGATGGTCTGAATGTAGCTGTAACGCATGAATAATTAAAAGTCACATGTGTATCCTACCGATCCGTGGGCGCTTGATGAGCCGCTGCTCTAAAGATGTTACAGCAGGCCTAGAACTTTCACAACCGTCTGCAATACAGAAGCCACAGAAAACATACAGTGCATGAAAACCCTGCAGAAAAGTATAACATGCCAAAAAAATGAATGCAATAAAGTGTGTTGCAAGACGTTCAAATATTCTGTAGCTACACCTCTTAAACCTTCCTATCAGTTTTGAAATGATCTACACACCAATAACGCAAAAAAATAAAATGCTGGGGGAATCCCAAAGTGAAACGAACGAATAAGTCACGTACATTTTTTGATACATGCAAACCTATTTACAACAATCTTAAGCTTTTGGTTTCACTTTTCCCCTGAGTGTGTTTTCTTTGAGCCTTTACTGTAAACTAAACTGAGCTAATACAAGTGATTGCTGAAATAAATGAGAAAAATTAAAAAACTAATTTAAGCTTTTCTAAAAAGAGAAAGAAAGAGGCATAACTATTGAGTGGCTGTAGAATGGTTATAGTGGTATTGTCACCATCAGGGTAGTAGAGGTGGGAATCACCATACATCCCACAACACGATATTATCACAATACTTAACGCACGATATGATATTATTGCAATTTTTAAAAAAGATTTCTGATATTCAGATTCTGTACATAAAGGTAAACCTTATCAATATTCATTTTATCTAATATCAAAGTCTCACACTCAGTCTTTCTCTCATGTCAGTCAGTTTTATTGTTGACAAACTGAACGGTTTGTACTACAGTCTAGTCCAACTTAACTGAATGCAACCATCTGGTACAATTATAGCTATTCTGAACTATGCAATTTATGAAAACTATGCAGCCCATTCAGCAACTGAAGAATTTGAAAGTAAATTAAAACAAAATATAATTTTACATTAAATAAAAAAAGTTTTAAACTTAATTAAAATAAAACATGTCTTAAATTAAAATAAGTAAACTGTCATGTTTATTGCTGCCAAAAAAAAAGTTAAACACATTTGGACAGTGTCAGGATTCTTGCTCAGAAAAAGGATCAACATGCTCTGAAGTCTGAAGTCCCCCCCCCACCCCTACAGGGTAGTGATGGTTGTTTTGCAGCCGTGGGTGATAAATGAAGACTATACTGCTCAAAAATGAAGGGAACACAGGTAAATATCAGTACAAACCATTGTGAACCTATTTCACCTGCTTTGGTGTAAAACACCAGTGAGGGGGAACCGGAGCAGCAACAACTAGGGAATGGTTTTGCAGGTGATGGAGAAACTACTGCTCTCTCCTTATCCCTCCTGACTGATTTTCCTCTAGCTCTGCTTTTTGCTGTTGAACTTGTCACTGCTGATTACCTGAGACAGTACCTGCATCCCATTAAGGTTCACAGGTCATCACAAAAAGGTTTGTCACCCAGCACAGTTATAAAACTGTGAGGAGATACCAGGAGACGGGCCATTAGAAGAGTAGAGCAGGACAGGGCACTAGAAGGCCATCAACCCAACAGCAGTAGCAGGAGGAACACAGCTAGACCCCTAAAAAATAACCTCCATGGACCAAACTGTCAGAAACAGACTCCACAAGATAGGCATCACCTCTACTATCTTGAGACGGGGCTGGAAGGCACAGCAAACTTTTTTGTGATAGCACATTGACATGGCACACTGGAGGAGCAAAAGTAACTCTTACAACCTGCATGGGCTGCAGGTGCTATCTCATGCTTCCAGCAAAGACAACGACACCAGCTAAAAGAGTCAGTCAAGAAGTATAAGGAGACAACAATGGTCTGCAAAACCACTTGCGAAACTATTTCCTCTTCTGAGATCATCTTGCTGTTGCCACTCCAGTGCACCTCATGTCACTTTCAATTACACTAAAGCAGCTAAAATGGATTCACAATAGTTGAACCTTCCAAAATGGGCAGATTGGTATCCCCGAAATTTAACTGACTTTGTGTTATACTACTGTGATTACATTTTACTTTTACTTTATTTTTACTTAGAAAAATAAAGCGTATGAGAATTCAAAAACATTAACATCTGATGAATTTCTTTTAGTGCCTCATTTTGGGTTTCATTATCATTTAATCTTGGCTCCTGATCTTATGGCTGAGCCACATTTTATTTGGAAGATGCTTTGGGTGTGCTCAGTAAACACCCAAAACAAGCCAGAGAAATGTGACCCAATGTGGTCAGTCTGATGTAAAACCAAAAAAGAAAACACCAAATTATGGAAAATCACCTGCAGACTGCAAATATGTGCATTTATAGTAAGCTTAGAGGTTAGGTCAAGCACAAATAAAACTACAAATCTTTACATGCACATACACATCCACACAATTATTCTGTACACACAGATATGAGACAGTGGCAAACAGAGGTGGTCTACCTGTGTTTGCTAGAGACACGTCCTCTGCGGCTGGAGATGGTACATCATCAGCTAAACATTCAAGCACAAAGTCACACTGTTAGCCATGCAGATAAGCACAACTATAGTTACATTTGTAATTACTATGGTTAAATATATTTTATGTATTATTCAACTTCATGCTGTGAAAACATGACAACAAATGTCTCTATGGCTTTATGTAAATGTCATCTAAGTGACAACTTAGGGATACTAGAAAGGCTAAATGTAGTCCATCATGCCAACTACAAAAGAACCTCAAATAATGCAGCTCCTAAAAAATTTGTGACCCCAAAATAAGACCATTATATTCATAAAAAATGCTTGAAGCAACACCAAAACTATAGTAATAGTATTTAAAATACTCCAGTTATAATCTGTACAATAAAAAGGGATTCTGATGTCTGTGCCCCACATTTATAGTTGTGGTCAAAAGTTTACATACACTCATCATGGGAATAAGTGTATTAGCATTGGAATAAATAAAGTCGGCTAAGTGGAATTGCTTTCCTAAACCCTGCCCTCAACCCTACTGCAAATTTGTGGACTACACTTAAAAGCTGGTTCCATACCAGGACACCAACCTATTTAATATAAATCTGCCCAGTGGTCAAATATATACGAACCTCTATGTATACATTTGCTACTGTGTGGATTACAGAAGAGCAACCATAAATTAAAACCTCTGCCCCTAATTCTTTTTTTAAAACTTGACTAAATATAACAGATTAAGAGCTGAGCACACCAACCCTTATTCAACAGAAATTAGTGACCATTTATACTAAATTTGGTGATTCAACAAGTTTGTTAATACAGTAAAAGTTAGTTCATGCTGTCATAGTGTGTTACTTTGAAGAAAACTGCTGATGCTGTGGGTACTGTGGGGTTGATTTTTGGGTTCTTTCCGTATACAGTCAAATAAATGTAACCACTTCCATGTCAACCTCAGTGCTTATACCCTATTCTCCTCAGCAGGCAAACCTTTAACTGGTACTGTATGCATGAAACACGTATATTATGCATTTGCTCACCAAACAAAACTCTATTTTTAAGACTGCTTTAAATGATCTTTCACTTTGTTCTACTGTTTTGACAGAACAGGGGACCCAGACAAGTAAAGTAAACCTCAAAGTGAAAGTCACTGAGGATTGCAGTGCTTTGGTCCGGGACAAACACCAGTTTATACTCACTGTTGTCATATCCTGCCACTGACATGAGCCTCGACTCCAGAAGCATGGGAATGTTCTCACACGAGAAGCACACGCTCTGAAGGAAGTTACGGCATTTTCGAGCACTGGCTGACCTGAAGTAATCCAACATGGTTTTGATGAGTTCTGGCCTTCCTGCTGCAGAAGAGCTTGAGGGGTCAAGCTGATATTGGCGCCAAGCTTCACTGGGCATCATTTGACACAGCTCCATTATGACTGAGTGCGACTGACTGCTGAGGATGTGGAACAATTCAATGGAGTCCTGAGCCAAGACTGAGTTCACATTTTCATGGTCAGGGTTGACCTCCTCATCCATGGTCAGACTCCATCGGCTGATACAAATAAAGAGGGGGAGACACAAATAAAGTCACAATCTTACCTGTGAAATGCAGCTTTGACTGAAGGAAGCAAGTAGCAAACATGCAAATCATACATTCATATCGTCGTACATCAATATAGTAGTCGATGCTTCAAACCCAACACTGTGAGCATTAACATTATAATCACACAGAAAGCCACAAAGCAAAACGATCGTCCATTGCATTTGCAGGAGACCACGTGCTCCGCACTTTATTCACTGAAAGTGAGGCATACATGGACAAAAAACCATGAAACTTTTTAACACGCCCTTGATAAACCAGTAAAACATACTTCTATGTGTCCATCGACCTCACAGATTTACACTTTAAACAACTAAAAGTGCTCCAATAAGTAAACAGCGTTAACTGTGCTCTAATTTAGGTGAATTTCGCTCATTATTAACGAAAAAAAGCGATTTTGAGGGACGTTTGAATCATTAGGAATCATTTGTGTGAGTGTGCGCTTTTTATACGTTTATTATTATTATTTTATGTAGACACGTCATACCGACATTCATTTCTTTTTTCTCGTCATTAAACTTTTATGTAAAAAAATATCGACGTCCACTGCGTTGTCTCGAGCCTGTCCTCAAACGGCTTCGAGGCGAGGTCGTTTAAGGTAACGCGCATCAAAGACTGCGTCATTGTGTACAGCTCAGCAAAGCTAACAAACTCAGGCTGCGCGGACAAGCAAAAGTCTGCGACACAGGGTTACAGTATAATGTTCAGAAATAAAATAAAGACTCACCAATAATACTTGGCGCAGATTGCAACTCAGTGCGGCCAGCCAGTGTCTCTATCATTTTAAACCGAAACTCATGAAATGGCTGGCTACATAGTTTTTGTTTCGTTTTCGTGTAACGCTCCACCAAATTGGCAAAGTCAGTGGCATACGCTGGCCTCCTCCAGATGAACAAAGGAGATATAAAATAGTAGGGTTCTGGAGGAATGATGTATTTGGGTATTTAAACGACTGCGTGACCAGGCAGAAATTTGTGTTAAAGCAAATTTCATGGGTTCCCAAGACATCTGATGGCAAGCGAATGACCATACCACAGGAAATGCCATGGGTTTAATAGTGCGATATCCCGTGTATTAGATGCGGGCAGGCCGGTGGGTGAGTACTGCTTGCTTTGCGCATCAAAATCAGGTTTAGTTTATTGGATTATTCCAGTTCCGAACCCGTTTCTTACTTACAGAAGAGCTAGAGCTTTGGAGCGCGTGTTGCTGGCGGTTCGCCATTCTATTCCGTGTTTTCCCAAAGAGTCTCAGTCTGGACAAGATGCTTTTGACATATTGTAGGAGCTTCTTAAACAAAGGCAAAATGTTGTAGCTGCTGCTATTTCTCTTTATCCCACAAATAATATATAAAAATGAATATGGACTGATAGTGCGTTTATTTTACATCATCCAAAACACACTGGTGCCTGTTATAATACATGAGTATCAGATATTTTGTATTTTGTTATATCTCTGTTGTGAAGCTCTACAACGTCAAAAACGTCACAGTTTAAGTTTAGCGCCTCATAAGCGGACTTAGATGCGATAACATGTCTACTCATTTCCAGGCTTACGAGCTGCAGTCACCCACCTTTTTTCAGACGAAGTATTGCAGTTTTACTTCTTTAAGTACTTTGGTGATTCGGTTTTAAAGGAACTTCAACAGCCATCTCGTCCTTCAAAATCCCCACCCTGACCACATTTCCCGATCTTTGACCTCCCAGTCGGCACTCTTTCATTTCATTTTCTTTATTTGTCAAAGACCATACACAAAAAAAAATAATGAACTAAGAAAAATTTCATTGTACCAAACATGATTAAAACTATTAACTGTGCCACAAAGGATCCATACATACACACTGTATACTCGTGTTTTATTTTTTATTACTTTTCACGATCGCTCTGTACAGCTTTTCAGTTGGCTTGTTCTTGGCATAGTGTTCTCCTCCGGTCCCAGCTGGCAGCTGAAATAGCAGGACTGATCACCCAAATTAGTCCCAACTGCTCTACCAGCCTTCAGGCACTGCCCACCAAACCTACTGCCCCACCACTTCTCTGCAGCAGAGCAGACCACACCCCTGCCACATACTGCCATTGCCTGACTGAGGCCAGGGAGCCATCCGGCAGAGCCTATCCCCCACGCCAGTGGGAGAGGAAATCCCCCATGATCATCTGCGCCCCCGACCACCTTTAACTTCAAAGGTGAGAGCCAGATACTACTGCGTGATCTTGCCATTGGCATCCCTGGTAAATGGTAAATGGCCTGTATTTGTATAGCGCTTTTATAGTCCCTAAGGACCCCAAGCGTTTTACACAACCAGTAATCGACCCATTAACACACACATTTACACACTGGTGATGACAAGCTACATTGTAGCCACAGCCACCTTGGGGCGCACTGACAGAGGCGAGGCTGCCGGACACTGGCGCCATCGGGCCCTCTGACCACCTTCATGCAGTGGAGCCATTGCAGCTGGGCATGGTCTGAACAGAGGGTGAATGACTGTCCCAGGATGTAATAGTGAAACGAGTCAACCGCCCACCGGATGGCCAGACATTCCTTCTTTATCTGGCCTCTCTTTCTAACACTTCACAGCTGATGTATACAACCGGGCAGTTGACCCCCCTTACAAGCTGGGACAAAACAGCTCCCACTCTTCTGTTTGAGGCATCAGTCTGCAGAATTAAAGGGTGTGAAAAGGGTCTCCCCACAGAGAGCCTTCATCACATGCACAAATCCTGCTCAGTTCACTGGACCAGATCTGGCACCCCCTTTCGGGTGACATTGGTTAAGGGCTGGTCAGCTCCTCAAAGTTTGGCACAAATAGTTGGTAATAACCAGTCAACCCCAAGAACCATCTCACCTCTTTTTTGGTCTTGGAATGCGGGCAGGATGTGATGGTTGTAGTTCTCTCCAAATGCGGGTGCAACTGCTTGACTCCTAAGTGGTACCCGAGATACTGTACCTCCCTCTGTGGAACTGCATACTTTTTTGGGTTGGCTGTGAGCTTGCCTGCCTTAGAGACGCCAGGACTACAGCCACTCGCTGCACATGCTGTGGATTATGACATCATCCAGGTAGGCGGCAGCATATGCAGCGTGTGGATGCAGCACCTGGTCCATAAGGAGCTGGAACGTGGCAGGGGCTCTGAACAAGCTGAATGGAAGTGTGACAAATTGGTACAAACCGCGCAGAGTGGAATGCCCTTTGTTAAAATCAGTGTAGTTAAAAAAAATGTGCCTAACCAGGAGCTCATTGATCTGCGCATTGGATAAGCATCAAACTGCAACACTTCATTCACTTTGCAGTGGCCAACACAGAACCCTATAAACTCATCTTTCTTCACTGTAAAAACTATGGCATCCTTGCCAAACCGCGCACTGTGCTACTCTTCTATTACTCCCATATCAAGCATCGCAGCCAATTCCTTCTTAAGCAACTTGTCTTTTATGTTCAGGTAACCTGTAGGGCCAAAAACGCATTGTCATGCTAGGGCGCCATTTCAAAATGGTGATCTATGAAATTTGTATGGCTGGGCAGGCGGGAGAACACATCTGCAAACCACTTTTGCAGCAAAGTAGCACCTGCTCTCTGCGCCTGTGTGAGATGGTCATCATAATCTAGGAGGCAGGAATGGTGGAACGTGGCACCTCCGGCCTGAACTGATCTCTCTCCTGAACCATGCTCACCAGAGAAACAGTTTCAGCCTCTCTCCATGCTTTCAAGAGGTTGAGGTGATATATCTGTGTGGCTCCTCCCCTGTCAGACTGTACAACCTCATAGTCAACATGCCCCCTTTGCCATGTGACCACAAAGGGTCCTTGGCACTTGATGAGTAATTTGGAGCTAAAAAAGGGAGCAATACAAGCACTTTTTCTCATGGTGAAAATGAGTCTAAGCCCTCTGTCGTCCTGTTTCTGGGCCTGGAGCATGTGGCAACCCCGCCAATGTGTGTAGCTTTGCTCTGAGGTCCAGAACATATTGTATTTCATTTTTTAGCCGGGCTTGGACCTTCCCCACAGTTGTTTCTTTCCACGGCTTCCTGCCAAACAACAACTAAGCATATCAATATATAACACCACCCTTTTGACCTGATATGGCTTTTACTTTCTCATCATCAGACTGAGACTATGATGACTGATTTAATCCATGTACATAGACACATACCATGATTTAGCACCATCCGTCAATCCATTCATCTATCTATAAATTTAATCTGTTTGTGTGTGTACCATTAAATTTCTGTGAGCCAGCATAAACATGTGAGGTCAGTGCAACTGAAAACATGACAGGAAAAAGTTAAATATATATTATATTACATAACCATTAATAATTCAGTGACAGTCACCCCAGACAAAAAAAAATTCCATATCATTTGCATGGCTCTTGTTTTCTTCCCCTTTCCTCATAGGGGAGGTGCATAGGAACCAATTTCCTCATTTACTCCTGGTTTTAAAAGCTATCTTGCTTAAATGAAGACAACTGGATTACCACGGGAAGAAATGAATTTTTAAAATATATCATAAGATTAATAGGTGTATGTTGCTAGGGGCGTTGTGTTTGTCACGAATCAGCAATAACAAGCATTTTTACTACTCAAACAGAAACGGTGTGTTCTGTTTCACAATGAATAGTTAAGTAATGGCTTCCAGCTATCTAACCAGAAGTTTTGAACAAACTCAGAGCTCTGTTGGAGGCTGCAGTGTGTTTTTTAAGTGTTTATGACAAAGCAAACACTTTTATCTATGCAACTGAGCACAGTAACAGTTTCATTTCTTTTGTGCAGGGCAGTTTAATGTGACATATTCATTTTTAAAAAATTGCATGTAAAGCTTTCGGATAATTTGTAGCCAATGTGAACAGTACAGAACACTAAGTACTGTCAAATCAAAGGTATTTCATGACAGGTGAACAACTGGAGCAGCTCAGAGACAGCTTTTTACCCTCCCATTCTTTAAACACATGCTCACTCTTACAATCACCACTGCAGTAGCCTTTATAACTACTCATATTTCATGGCTATGATAGTGGAGCCCTAAAACATGTTGCACACACAGACCTAGCATGTGTGTTACTGCACTCCAAGTTAGCAAACAACTGGTGCACTCTGAACACTAAACCGCACTCACATAAAAGTGAAGGCCAAAAGTTCTCGCAGAGACTGGGGCACACTGGACATTCCTGTAAAGTTAAGTCAATAATACCTATGTGCCTGCATTTGCATGCAAAAGACCCCAGTAACTATACAATTTCTATATCAGTTTATTATTTAGAACAAATGACCTAAATCTTTCCAAAAAGAAAAGCTGCCCAGAATTTTGTACATTTTTAAAAAAAGTACTAAACCCTCTATTATGTATAACAACAGAATCGGCTCCTTCAGACCATTAAATCGACTGTCACCAACCTCCACTGTGTATATTCAGTCAGACTGTTTTAAACCTCAAGTATAATTGTTTATTTCAGTACAAAAAAGCGTTTTCCTCACATGCAATTTGGTTTTTAAAGCAATCACTGTAAAATAAAACACACTAAAATCCACTGAGTGTTAAAATATCAGCAGTTAAATGAGATGATGTTATAGGGACAAGCACACATATGGAATTAATTAAAAAGGCATTTATAACTTAAAATGTGAGTAAAAATATTCAGTTTTTTCAAGGACAATAGATCTAATGGTCCATTTCCAACATTTACATGTTTTGAACATTTAGATATTTTGCTGTGTTTGTATTCCAGGGAATTCCTGTCCAAGTGCAGGAAGATCCAGTACAGGCACAAGGAGGATGAGGAGGATGCTAATGTTGCAAGTCTCAGATCAACCAGCT